TTTCTTTCATCTGTATGCAATACCATTTGTCTTTTAACCATTAATCTATGTTTTTGTACCATAATCTTTAACTGTGCAATAGGATGTAGTTTTTAGATGCTTACGCTGTTTTTATGGCTTCCATTTTTTTTTTTATTTCATCTATATTTTGATACATTAATCTTTGTTGCACTTATGACTCGTCACAATCGTGTTTTTTTTGTGTTGCTTCATGTTAACAATCTGAGTTTATCTCCGTCCCCATGAGCTCAAGAGGAGAAAACGGATGACAATCCTCTCCTTTCCTTCGACTCTGAGCCGACTTTAAAGGAGGGGGGGACGCAAACGGTTACAATCGACCCAAGCTGACTGGAAATGTTTGTTCTCACTGCAATCAAACCTATGGAGCACCCTGGTACGTCAACTGACCTCACTGTGGACCGACTGAAACACTACAAAGCCCAGATTCTGCTGTTTGAAATCAGAAACTTAAAACGGACGCGCACAGAAGCACGCTGGATATTATTTCTGCTTCTCGTTCTGATCCTCTGTTGTTGGAATGACTGATTCAGTGTGTGCGTGTGGGTGTGCTGTCGCTCTTTGTCCGCTAGTATCATATGTAGAGCCGTGACGGCCTGTACAGGCGAGCTTAAACCTTCTCATCCCCTTTGTTTGTCAGGACGCCAATGACAGGATCTCATTTATGTTTTTGTAATCTGTAATTTCTATTAAAAAAAAGCTATGTGTATTGGATTGATATTTCCTTTTTTTTTTTTTTTAAGAAATGTTGTGCATTCAATGGTTTCCATTGCTATGGGTCTGCTTGGTACCGTTTCTGTACACACTTTCAAGCCATTATGAAAGAAAATATCAATAAATGTATGAAATAATGCTTGGCTTTAGAGGATATGGACTTTTTCTGGGTTATAGAAAGAAAATAAGAGCATTAAATGCTTAAAGTCAGACAAAACTTTCCTATATATATCCTAATCTTACATTTATTGAGATGCTTTTGTTTATGAATAAAAAAAATTAAGTATTAGTAAATTACTTCAATGCAAATTGATTTAAAATGTGAAGCTCACGTGAATTATTAGTATAAACCTGTGTATACCATGTGAATGGCTGCCTAAAGTAGTGTCAAAGCATTTTAATGGGAACTTTGGTGGAAGAATAAAAAATATTCTAGGAAAAAAATATATATTAATGAAAATGTAACATAATGTGGGGGTTTATGCAAAAAGTGAGCCCAAAAATATTAGTGCAATTTGTAATATGTTCTAATAATTACTAAGTGGTTGTGTGTACACAGTATATGTATGTGGGTCTCTATAGTATGTTGATATCCTATGCAGGATTAAATTGTAGTGTGTTTATGGACAGTTCTAGACGGCGGCCATTGCCCCTGCAGCAATGGCCCCTACAATCGACCCTGTATTGAAGGGATAAATCATTATTTTTTCTGGTAATGCACTGGCACAGAAACTGCATTGGAAACTATTTTATTTTCACCTTGACTGTTTTACTTAATAGTGATTTAAAAATGAAGGTTGCACAAACTATGAAATGTCAACCTTTTTTTTTTTTTTGTTCTGTTTCCCATTGAAAAAAACCCACTAAATTTGGTCAAAACCAACCACTGAGTGTACTTAAGGTTGTACTATTGTTTTGTTTAGCTTTAAATGTTTCTCTTTTGCTAAATTTTCCAATAACATGCCTAGATACAGCAGCACTCAAGGACAGAGGCATAGCCAGAAAATTTCAATAAGGGTGGCCGTGCAATAACCAGTGTACGCTTAGTGGTGGCTGAAAGCGAATATGCACCAGAATCTCAGGGTCAATCTATACTGCTCCAACAGGAACGAGCATAATACCCATATTTTCTAAATAAAGACAAACTATACTTTCCTACAGCCTTTCCTAACAAATAGGCACATATATTTCAACATCCGTGCTTTCTAGATTAAAGGTGTAGAGGAAAAAAACTTCTGTGGCGAACATTTTCTCCATTGTCATTACTTACTTTTTTTTACCAAAAATTGTTCTGCATACAATTTATATTTATATGTACTAATATCGACATTAAATGGATTTTCAAGTTATAATTAAAGTAGTTATCTATGATTTAACTGAAGACTCCTATAATTTTCTCTTTTTATAACACAAAAATCTAGTTCTGAGCATGAATTCTGTACATATCAACTTTAATGTTACTATTTTGATGTTCATAAACACAACGTTTTAGTTGTCAAGTAGTTAATATATTAAAAAATTCAAATGTTTAACAAGTTTGAACATTCCTCTTGAGAGTATTACAGCTGCCACCATCTGAATTAGAAGGCCAAAAAAAAGGTGAGGGTGACCATGGCCACCCCTGGCCCCCCATCTAGCTCCACCCCTGCTCAAGGAAACAGGTTTCCCATCTGACAGGGACATGATCTGGCTTGTCCTCCATATGAATGCTGTCATTAACTATTTTAAAACACTAATATAAGTAGAAAAACTTTAAATGTAAATGTATATATGTTAATTTATATTTGAGCTTCATTTTTTTTTAGCCGAATTACTTAAAGAAGCTGCCAGAAGCAGAACATGGGACATGCTCGGCTAGACTAATTAAGCACAGCTGCCCCCAAAAATTGGATAAATCATGATTTTTGTTCATCCTGTTTGTTTGTTTTTCTCCGATTATCTTTGATATTACTATTAGTTTAAAGTTGCAATTTTGACAAAAGATATTTAAATTGTTAGGCTTCAAATATTCCATAGCAGGGTCAATTTTTAATTTCGAATCCGACATAATTTGGCAGCCATGTTTGTTTTTCCTAACGGTAAAAGTAGTTTCTTCTTTCTTCGATGGGTATGGCAGGCCGTTTGACATTTATTATGACATTTATTATTAGAAATTGCATTATTAGAAATGCATTTGAGACATCTGAAATATATATTCAGTCAAGCTAATAAATATCAAAATGGCCACTTAAAATTTATGATATTAGGATATCTATATCTACATTTCTGGCGAGCAGGAATGTAGTTTGACATGGAAGAATCTTATTTTAGAGATCAACAAATGGAACAATAGAGAGGACGGCGCTTCTAATAATTGTCAAAATGGCCTGCCATATCGGCTTCCTTTTTTAAAAAATGACCAACGCTCTTCGGGATTATTTTTAGCTATTTTCCGTCGACAACATTCCTCGGTGTCTATCGAACTACTCTCCCTAAGGCAGACACTAGATGGAGACATTTGTCTCCCCGCCCTTGTTTTTCTCACCTCCTCGCCGTCTGCTCCTCGCGCCCCTAGCAACTGCAGCATCAGCTAGAGCGGCGCAGTACTGGGGCGCTATGTCACGACTCCCCATTGGCTGTGTCAAGTTAGCGGGAAGACTGCCGGAAATACGCTGACCTGACCATAAAAATATAAGTCCACTGCTGAATATTTCAACGTTACATAAGACACCAAAAACTATTGGGTCGTAAATTCATTTTTATTTGTAGGAGATATCTCAGAACTTGTTTTAAATACTTAATAACAATGGATTATTAGCAGTTTACGTTTTTTAGATGTTAGTTAGACAAATATGGCATTCTGACTTCATACTATAAAGCATTTTTTTATTTATTTAATTAGTTTAAGCTTATAAAGAGAGAAACAATATACAGTTAACTTTAAATATTTGAAACAAATAACAAACAACAATGAATATTATCTGGTTGCATGCAATGGAAATGAAGAAAAAAAATATAATTTTCTGTAAAAGTATTTCATCCATTCTGGGGAAGTAGTCTACCTGGGAACTAAGTTTTTGTAGGCCTAATTAACATTTATGTTGAATAAAATCAACAGCCAGGTTCCTGGTTAGCTCTGGAGAATTGTACCTAAATTTCCCTGAAAGTTTCCTCCTAACTGGGAAATCCATGGTAAGCTCCAGGAAACTACATGCTGGAAAATTTATAGATATATAGAAAAGTAATTGTTAGTATTGTGGCGGTTCCAAAAGTTTCAAGTCAGTCCCAGTGCAAATCTGATTACGTTTATATGGAAGAGGATTAGGGCCACAAAAAATAAAAAAGTTAATTGATTTTTAAATTTTATTCCAATTTAATATGGAAAAAGAAAATCAGAATTCTGATATTAAACTGAAATAAAATAAAAAAATCACTTATCTTTTTTATAATTTTTTCAGTGGCCCTAATCTTGTTCCATTCCTCCAGGAAAATGATAAATAAGAACGTTAACGGATTTTAAAATTTTATTGCAGTTTAATATGGAAAAAAAGTCAGAATTCTGACTTTAATCTCAGAATCCTGATATTAAACTGTAATAAAAAAAAATTAAAAATCACTTAACTTTTTTCATTTTTTCAGTGGCCCTAATCGTCTTGCATACATCCAGAAAAATGAAAAATAAAACATTTTACTGATTTTTAAATTTAATTCCAGTTTAATATGGAAAAAAGTCAAAATTCTAACTTTAATCTGAGAATCCTGATATTAAACTGAAATAAAATTTAAAAATCACTTAACTTTTTTCGTTTTTTCAGTGGCCGTAATCTTCTTCCATACCTCCAGGAAAATGAAAAATAAAAAAAGTTAACTGATTTTTAAATTTTATTCCAGTTTAATATGGGAAATAAAAGTCACTGACTTAATCGCAGAATTCTGATATTAAACTGATATAAAATATAAAAATCACGTTTTTTTTTTTTCAGTGGTCCTAATCTTCTTCCATACCTCCAGGAAAATAAAAATTAAAAGGTGAACTAATTTTTAACTTTTTATTCCAGTATGATATGGAAAAAAAGTCAGAATTCTGATTTTAATCTCGGAATTCTGATATTAAACTGAAATAAGATTTAAAAATCACTTAACTTTTTTTTATTTTTTCATTTGCCTAAAACCTTCTTTCATGCATCCAGAAAAATGAACCAGAGGAGCAACCAAATGTGTGTTGACCAACATTAATCAACCTTTATTTTGAAATGAATGACCGGAAGTTGAATTAACCGTCGTCAGCTTCCCACTGGTCCCTATCCAGTCGTGTCAACCAGGCTCGCCCAGCATCACCGCCTTCTTCTTTCTATTTTCTCTGTATTTCCTCTTCCTCTATCATTGTTTTCCTTCCTTCTTGTGGTTTTTATTTTTTCCAGCATTTCTCAAACTCGCTGCGCAGCCAATTCTTCCTCCGGTTATTCCCATTTTTTCCCTCCTATCGACCAGATGGTCTGCCGGTAGCCGCGCGAGCTGTGCTGTCGCATCAATCCTACCAGGAGGAGGAAAAAAATCTATCCACGACACCTTTAGTGTTGCTAAATTAGCCAGGAAGCCTTGCTGTGATCTTTTTCCATGTCTGCCTGTTCCTGCGTGGAAGGAGCCTGCAGCCTGCTCAGCCTTTCTCCTCTTTAGCATCTCCAGCAGGCTGCTGCTGTGGAGCTCCATGCTCTGCTGCATTCATTTTCTGCAGGTCAGCATAATATTATTATTTATAATTAATGTTATTATCCCAGCCTGCATGCTTTATTGTCATATTGATAAACAAGGCCGAGCATGCTGCTGTGTGGGGATGGGTTGCACGCTGCTCTCCATGTAAACAAAAGTGGCCTACATTGCAGGGCTTTCATCTCTGATTTGCTATATTTTAGGATTTTGCAGCGTGCTTATTTTCTAATATTCCAGACGCCTGATTGGTGTGCTCTTCATTTGCTTGTAATGATCATCTGTGGAAGCATTAAGAGCTTAAATGATTTATTTATAAATAGGGAAATAAAGTCACAGCTTTGTTTTTTTTTTTGTTTTTGTTTTTTTAAGCTTTTATTATTTATTGAAGTAATGTACAGGGTTGCACAGGGGGAGCTGCAGATGTTCAAAATAAATGAAAGGACAAGCTAGAAGAGAAAATATATAGAATAGAATAATATAGAATAGAATAGCATAGAATAATATAGACTAGAATAGCATATAATAATATAGAATAGAATAATGTAGAACAGAATAGAATAATATGGAACAGAATAGAATAGTATAGAATAGAATAATATAGAATAGAATGATATAGAACATAATAGAATAGAACAGAATATAATAATATAGAATAGAATAGCATTGAATAATATATAGCAAAATGGAATAATATAGAACAGAATAATATAGCATAGAATAGCATTGAATAGAATAATATATAGCAGAATGGAATAGAATAGAATAATATAGAATAGAATATTATAGAGCATAATGGAATAGAATAATATAGAACAGAATAAAATAGAATAATATAAAACAGAATAGAATAGAATAATATAGAACAGAATGGAATAGAATATAATAATATAAAACTGAATGGAATAGAATAGAATTAAATAGAACAGAATGGAATAGAATACCGGTCATATAGAACAAAATAGAATAGAACATTATATAACAGAATAGAATAGAAAATCCCTTTATTGTCCTACAATGGGAAAATTCTGGTGTTTAAAGCAGCTAAAAGATTATAGAAAAAATGGTCAAACAATGTGGACCTTAGGAAAGTGTATAAGAATAACATAATAGTGAGGAGTTAAAAGATAAACAATAAAATACTGCACTGTAAAGTGTTTTAACAATATAAATAATGTGCACTTGGAGAATAAGTAACCAATATACACCAAATAAAAGGCGTAAGACAAAAATCAATGTTAATTAAAGTATAGACTAACAAAACACACGAATTTGGCTTAACTTTAAAAAATATGCTTTTATGAACAAAAATCTTTACAGTTACAACTAAGAATGACATTCAGGTAAACTTTGCTTAAATAACCTTAGTTACACTGTTTGAGTATGGATTATACAATTATTTCCACACAGTTAGAATGATATTAAATAATGCATATAATCTTTATACTAATTCTTTTTATAGCATAGATCATGATACAGTCATAGAGGTAATGCTCTGTTTATAAGCCAGTTGATCTGCAGGTTGCAGCTACAGTCGCTCTGGCACTTTCTCATACAATTAGAAAAATGTATTTTATTTTTTATTTTTTTTTTATTGATAAACTTTCTAAAATCTTGGTAAGCATCAACTCTGTGTCACGGGTGTCATTATTCACATTAGGAGCTGAAGTATTTTTAATGTCTAAACTGGTCCATACAGCTAGCATTACTTTTTGTAAACGGCTGTCTTCAGTCATTATTCTCTAGTGAACGTAGAGCCTCACTTTAATTTAGCGATTTCTAACAACATTCCCAACTTCAGCATGTTGAAAAACAGATAACGGTTTAACCTTCCCGTTATCTTCTTAAAGTCCTGCTCTCTCTTAGCTCGAATGAACCAATGGGATTTCCCAGAGAGCTCAGCTGTCTCTTATTCCAAAAGAATAGAAAACATAGTGCTGTTTTCTCAGTGACAGCCTCCACACTGAAGAGTGTTTTTGCTAGCACACCACATAGCTCTTATTTTTAGCTCTGTCATTTTTATGCTTTAAGTCCACCTCTTGTCTTTTTAATCAAAGTTAGAGGCTTTCTATCAGTCTCTCTAAATAGGTCACTATTGATCTGGTATAGATGGACTAAAGGGCAGAGCTACAGCAGCAGAATAACATCCAGTTTCTCTGCTGACTCTAACTGCCACCATCAATGTTCTTTGTTGAAGAAACTAACAAAAAGGCTAAAGTCTGGATGAGCTGATCCCCAAAACACACAGACGCTCATGCGGACGCGTGCTAATAGAGACTGCTAAGTCCCTCCGTTCCCTAGCAACAGTGATGGGGTTGCTGGTCAAGGCTCCTTCCAAATTTAGCTCTGGGACCTGCAGAGCTGTTTGGACATGTAAATCAATGCTGCGTTTATACAACAGATCAGTCTGTTGCAACTAAGCTGGAGGGGTTTTATTCTGCAGTGAGATCAAATAAAGTAAACCTGGCTTGTTTGAAATCACTGGGTGTCCCTTTATATATGTACAGAAGAGGATTAGGGCCGGAAAAAAAAAAAAAGTTAACTGATTTTTAAATATTATTTCAGTTTAAATATTCTGACTTTAATCTCAGAGTTATGACTTTAATTTCAGAATTCCGACTTTTTTCTCAGAATTCTGACTGAATTCTGACAGCTAACAAACATGTTAGCATCAAGCCGTAGCCATGTCTAAAGACTAAACTAACTGCTCTACATTAAAGAAATAGCATCATCAGGGACGCCTCAGGCCCGTAAAAAGTTGCCTAATTCCATCATTTTCCACCAATGTGTTACTGGCCAAACAACCCACATATTTGTTAGTGAAGCTGAGTGCTCCCACATGTCTTCCTTTGGGGTGCCCTTTAAGATTAAGATCCAAAATTCTGGGATTAAAGCTGGAATTCTGAGGGGGAAAAAAGTCAGAATTCTGAAATTAAGGTCAGAATTCTAAGAAAAAATGTCAGAATTCTGAGATTAAAGTCAGAATTCTGAGGAAAAAATATCAGAATTCTGAGATTAAAGTCAGAATTCTGAGGAAAAAATGTTAGAATTCTGAGATTAAAGTCAGAATTCTGAGGAAAAAAAGAATTCTGAAATTAAGGTCAGAATTCTAAGAAAAAATGTCAGAATTCTGAGAAAAAAGTCGGAATTCTGAGATTAAAGTTAGCATTCTGAAATTAAGGTCAGCATTCTAAGAAAAAAATGTTAGAATTCTGAGGGTAAAGTCAGAATTCTGATGAAAAAATGTCAGAACTCTGAGATTAAAGTCAGAATTCTGAGATTTAAGTCAGAATTCTGAAATTAAGGTCAGCATTCTAAGAAAAAATGTTAGAATTCTGAGATTAAAGTCAGAATTCGGAGATTAAAGTCAGAATTCTGAGGAAAAAATGTCAGAATTCTGAGAAAAAAGTCAGAATTCTGAAATTAAGGTCAGAATTCTAAGAAAAAATGTCAGAATTCTGAGAAAAAAGTCAGAATTCTGATATTAAAGTTAGCATTCTGAGATTTAAGTCAGAATTCTGAAATTAAGGTCAGCATTCTAAGAAAAAATGTTAGAATTCTGAGATTAAAGTCAGAATTCTGAAATTAAGGTCAGCATTCTAAGAAAAAATGTTAGAATTCTGAGATTAAAGTCAGAATTCGGAGATTTAAGTCAGAATTCTGAAATTAAGGTCAGCATTCTAAGAAAAAATGTTAGAATTCTGAGATTAAAGTCAGAATTCTGAAATTAAGGTCAGCATTCTAAGAAAAAATGTTAGAATTCTGAGATTAAAGTCAGAATTCGGAGATTTAAGTCAGAATTCTGAAATTAAGGTCAGCATTCTAAGAAAAAATGTTAGAATTCTGAGATTAAAGTCAGAATTCGGAGATTAAAGTCAGAATTCTGAGGAAAAAATGTCAGAATTCTGAGAAAAAAGTCAGAATTCTGAAATTAAGGTCAGAATTCTAAGAAAAAAAATCAGAATTCTGAGAAAAAAGTCAGAATTCTGAGATTAAAGTTAGCATTCTGAAATTAAGGTCAGCATTCTAAGAAAAATTTTTAGAATTCTGAGAAAAAAGTCGGAATTCTGAGATTAAAGTTAGCATTCTGAAATTAAGGTCAGCATTCTAAGAAAAAAATGTTAGAATTCTGAGGGTAAAGTCAGAATTCTGATGAAAAAATGTCAGAACTCTGAGATTAAAGTCAGAATTCTGAGATTTAAGTCAGAATTCTGAAATTAAGGTCAGCATTCTAAGAAAAAATGTTAGAATTCTGAGATTAAAGTCAGAATTCTGAGGAAAAAAAGAATTCTGAAATTAAGGTCAGAATTCTAAGAAAAAATGTCAGAATTCTGAGAAAAAAGTCGGAATTCTGAGATTAAAGTTAGCATTCTGAAATTAAGGTCAGCATTCTAAGAAAAAAATGTTAGAATTCTGAGATTAAAGTCAGAATTCTGAAATTAAGGTCAGCATTCTAAGAAAAAATGTTAGAATTCTGAGATTAAAGTCAGAATTCGGAGATTTAAGTCAGAATTCTGAAATTAAGGTCAGCATTCTAAGAAAAAATGTTAGAATTCTGAGATTAAAGTCAGAATTCGGAGATTAAAGTCAGAATTCTGAGGAAAAAATGTCAGAATTCTGAGAAAAAAGTCAGAATTCTGAAATTAAGGTCAGAATTCTAAGAAAAAAAATCAGAATTCTGAGAAAAAAGTCAGAATTCTGAGATTAAAGTTAGCATTCTGAAATTAAGGTCAGCATTCTAAGAAAAATTTTTAGAATTCTGAGATTAAAGTCAGAATTCTGAGATTAGAGTCAGAATTCTGAAATTAAGGTCAGCATTCTAAGAAAAAATTTTAGAATTCTGAGAAAAAAGTCAGAATTCTGAGATTAAAGTTAGCATTCTGAAATTAAGGTCAGAATTCTAAGAAAAAATGTCAGAATTCTGAGATTAAAGTCAGAATTCTGATGAAAAAAGTCAGATTTTTTTTCTCATATTAAACTGAAATAATATTTAAAAATCAGTTCCCTTTTTTTTTTCCTGTGGCCCTAATACTCTTCCGTATATATGAGTCAATAATTGATCAATGCAGAACCTGCAGGACCCCTGCAATGAGAGCATGCAGAACAACCCACAGCAGCCCTATCTGGGTCAGTTAGCCAAAAACTCCTCGCCCCTCAGTGCCCCCACCCCTGCTGTGTCTAAAGCTGTTTTAATGCCATTACCCTGGAGGGGGTATGGCCGCCCTGCCCAGCATGGTTTGGATTAAACCTAGACACACCAATAGGGGTCATTCACAGGCTTATCCAACAGGACAGCTGTATGTCTGCTGCTTTGTGCAGACAAATACATTTCCAGGCCTTCCTCATTCATCCTCTGTTTATCCTCCCCCGCCTCTCAGACCGTGGCCTTAACCGTCTACGCCTGCCTGCGGTCGTCCTCCGACGCCGGCCTGCGTGGCCTCTGAGCTGGTTCCCCTCCTCATTCTCCTCGCCGTCCCCCGCCATTGCGTCCAGCTGTGGCCCTCACAGGGCGCGGTCGCTGGCTTTCACCTGACAGGTCCCTGGCCTCAGGACGACAGCCAGCAACAACACGTTCCCTACATGAGGGACAAAGCGACGCAGGTGAGTCTGATGCTGGGGGGATTTTCTGACATATACGACGTGACAACTGCCAACTTCACCTTACTTTATAGGGGGTTTGTGTTTGTTAAAGTGGGCGGTGGCAGTATTATGCTGTGGGGAGGGGGCTTCCTATGATCAGATTGCTTTGGAAGGATGGAGGGGGCTTCTTATCAGGCATTCCTGGAAGAGAATAGCCCTAGATTTAGCCGGTTTTAGAACATTTCTATAATTTAGCGCAAATGTCTGTTGCTGCTCTAAGTCTGTCCGTCAATAAACCCAACGAGGTTCAGAGGGGTTGCAGACGGTTGCATCATCAAGCTGCGTGGCTCGTCACCAGGTGACAGACTTTGAACGAGACTCCTGATCAAAGAGAACCTGCAGGATCTTCCTGCAGCAGCACATCAATACGCTGCAAAGGACAAACAGCTATTTCTCATTAGCTTGTTCTAGTTTTTCCTGTTTGATTTTCAAGCAAGTGTCACAGAAAAAAAAAAAATAGCTCTAACTGGTGTGTGCATGCATCTCAGACCCCCAGGGCCTGGGCAGATGAGAGGAGGAGGGGCTCTCACAAACGCTCGGCCTCCTGTGGGAGCACCGACCAACTCAAGGAGGTCTGTGTCCCACTTTCACTATCTATGTTCAGATTGTGTGCACAATAACAACGTCGATCTTAAATAACTCCTTTTCTAAAAACCTCTCCAGATTGCCAAATTGCGTCAGCAGCTGCAGCGCAGCAAACGCAGCAGCCGCCACCGGAGGGACAAGGATCGCAAGTCGCCGTTCAATGGCAGCCACACCATCATTCAGTCACAGGTGATCATGCAGTGATTTTTACCAAAGCGTACCCCTATATGCTCCTTACTTATTTAAGTATGTTTTATAAAAATATGTAGTCATACACATTTATAATTGATTTTAATTGAATGATATTTTATTAAAAAGTAATTCAACATATCTGTAGTTGTTCTGATTCATGTTTGAAACAGAATTTCTCATAAAATAAGACAATAAAGATCCTTGATCAAATCAAAATATCTATAACCTGTAGCCTGTGAAAACCTCACTTAGCTAAGATATTTCTGCTAAAATCACCTGCATTTTCATCATTTTAGCGGGACCTTGATGAAGTTTCAATTCCAAAAAAAGTCAGTTTGATCAGAGAATTAACCCTATAATGCCAAATGTAACATATTTGATACATACGGTTTCTGAAATGTTTTGCGTCTGACACCTTTTGCATAATTTAATGGTAAAAACTTTGCTCAAAATCCTATTGTATACAATCAGATATACCTGATAACAGCCAGTAGAAGACTACACACAAAATAATCTTGACTTATCGCATAGTAATAAATTATTAATATAAAAAAAAAATTCGGTTTTTTCTTTTTACATATTTTGTTAAAAGGCCAAATAAGGACTTCAAACCAAAAAAAAGTAATTTTCTGTTTTGCTTTATTCTTGGATCGGGCTTTAAAGGGTTAAGTCAAAAGTTGCTTTTTCAGTACAAATGTGTGCAATATTATGTTAATATTTTGCTAATTTTGAAAATGCAAAGTTTACTAAATTGTTGCATTTGCATTAATTAACAAATACAATTAAAATTTTATGTTAATACGTTTGTTGACATGATAACTCTGCAAACAACATGGCAGCGGCAGATGTAAACAAATTAGATATATCTATATTTCAGCCTCGGCTCTAGGGGGCGCCATGCTCCTCCAGCTACTTCCTGTCTTCCTCTTTGTTTTTTTTTCTACAAAGCAATAAGATCCAGTTGTAGATCATGTAACTCATGTGATGTGAAAAAAGTGTTTTCATTACATTTTTACAAAACATATAAGAGTTTCCATACGACTGCAAATAAGAAAAACGTGTTATTGAAAATTTTATATTAAGCAAATTTATTTTCCAAATTACAAATTGATGGTTAATGGAAATGGCGTTAAGGTAAAAGTTGAGAAATTTAATAAATCAAGAAATCAGCCCAAAGATTTTGATGTTTTTTGATGAATTGTGCATCCTAGTGTTCACCACTGTAATTGTACATTATTAAAATCTTTCAAGAAGCCCCCCCACTGAAGGGTCACCATCATTTTATTAATTTATTTTATCATTTCATACAAACGGGAAGTTGGTCCATTAAACTGTATTATTTAGAATTTTTTGGTTAAATTCTTTGATTGCAAAACTTAACATACTTTAATTTCAGTCAGTGTTTAATTTGTAGAGATAATTAAATGCTGTCATTCTGTTTTAGCTTAATCTATATTTTACAAATTAAGTTTAATCAAAAGTGAAAAAGAAAAGGGTTTGCAGAAGTTATAGAGGAAACCTAAGATCTGTGAGCTTCATACTAGACCACATATGTCAAAGTCCATGGCTGGATGATATTTAATTACCATTAGAACCGGCCCACAGGCCACGGCCGCTTGTGTGCGCTGCTGTCACTTTGCGGGCTACCGTTGCATTGTGGGAAGGAGGGAGGGGCGGAGCTGATCCTGCAGGTGATGACGGACAGCTGCAGGATCAGCTCCGCCCCTCCCTCCATCCAGGCTCCTTTAATTTTGGCTTCAATCAGTCTCTGCTAACACCTGCGTTAGCTTGGATTGTTGGATTGTTAAATAGTTAAAGTGGGGAATGAAAACCAAAACAATCCAGACATAATTTATAATACATGCACTTTCATTTATGTATTTATCTTAATAAGTTTTGCAGTGGTGATTGTTTGCCAAACATCCAATTAAAGGTCCAATTAAGCCACTACTAAGGCACTGGGGTAAATTCTCTATACGCAGACAAAAAGTAGTTTCAGTGTCCAGTCTTAATGATGGTTCTGGATGGTTTATTTTCTATTTTTGCCAACAATTAAATAGTGCAAATTTTTCTTTTGTCCTACCTCTGGTAAAAACCATATAGGCTCCAAAACCAAAATGCCTGCTTGTCCTTTTCCAGGCCCCTACACTAATAAAAAGTGGACTGATCCACATCACTTCCTGTCAAAAAATAAATAAAATAAATAATAAAAATGATAAAACAAAGATAAATAGAATCCACAATTATTAACCTGCAAATTAACTCTCTAAATAATACAAAAAATATACATTTGGGAACGAATTAACACAATTAAATAGGATAAAGAAATAAAGAATAAATAGCTCCAACAGGTTTATTAATATAATAAAAGTTTATTAATAATATTGTTATTAATATTTTGTTTAAAAAAACAATTGGTCGAATAGGTAATGTTCATATAAATATGTTTTAATAAACATTTAACCGGTCCGGCCCTCCGCTTGTAGCAAATTTCTTTTTTTGGCCCTTTGTGTATTTGACTTTTAACTCCCTGAACTAGACCTAATGTATAACCTTTGGTTTAAACTCTCCTATAAGGACTAACTAATCCTAACAACGGTGGATGTTATTAGATTTAAGAACATTTAATTTTTCTGATGCACACTTCCTGCATTGGTTGTAAAAATGGCGGCACCTGAATCCAGAATGGTATTGGATGTTTGGAGAGCGTTACTGAGAGAGCGATGGGGACTCATAATGACTGATATTTGCTGGTTTGGATGTAGTTTATTAGAGCTGCTTTCTACAAACATGTTTCTATGTATTTTGCAGTCGCCTATGCCCAAGACCATTCTTATACCAATCCCTATATCCAAATCCTCGGCTCCTCGCTTCCGCAACAGCGTGGAGGGCCTGAACCAGGAGATCGAACGCATCATCATCCGGGACACCCCCGAGAAGGAGGAGACCATTGTGGTGAGTTCTCCTCAGCTAAAGCGGCTCAGAGAAAGTTTGACCCTTCATGGAAGGGTTAAGCCGCATTGTTATTGTGACCTATTTACGCAGCCGCAGGATGTCCCCGATGGCCACCGCGCACCCCCGCCGGTCCCCCCCCAGCGCAGCAGCAGTACCCGCAGCATCGACACGCAGACTCCATCGGGCGGTGGCTTGAGTGGTAACCATAGCAACTGCAGCAGCCGCCCAGACTCCATCTCCCCCTCCTACCTCAGCGTCCTCAACGACACGGCGGGAGGCAGCCCCTACGAGGACAAAGGTGAGCCGTCAAACGCCCACCATTCGCTTCGTCTCCCATCTATGTCTGTTGACGTGTGCATCTGATTCTCCTCATCGCCTCAGAGCTAAGTCCGTGCTCCCCACTTCCCAAGTACGCCGCCTCTCCCAGACCCAACAACAGCTACATGTTCAAGAGGGAACCGCCAGAGGGCTGCGAGAAGGTCCGAGTGTCTGAGGAGACCATGTGAGTAGAGAGATAAGCATCCTTCCACATATGGAGGAGTAATTACAGAACTGAGGGATAAACGCCTTTATGTGTTTCCAGGCCCAAACCCCTGGAGGAGATCCCTCCCTTCCTGTGTCCCGACCGCAACAAGGTCAACTTCATCCCCAACAGCGGTTCCGCCTTCTGCCTCGTCAGCATCCTCAAGCCCCTGCTTCCCGCCCCGGACCGCAACTTTCGCCCGGGGGTGGGCCTCCGCAGCCTGTCCCCGTCCCTGGTGCCTCTGTCCACCCAGCCCTATCTCCTGGAGGAGCCTGAGAGCTTCTGACTGGCCCCTTGGCCTCGACCTCAACCCCCCCTCCATTGGTTAAATCAGAAAACATTATGGAATCGATCCTTTTGCTCCTGAAAAAAACAACAAAAAAAAGCCTTTAGCATGCCAGCTAAGCTCTCTCTGATGTCCTTCTTTTGTTGAAAAGCTCCTCCCACTGCCTCCTCCTCTGACGTAGGACTCCTGCCTCCCTGAGCAGGTGTTCGTAGCTCACATTTCACCGCTTCCTTCGACCCTCAGCACCGCTTCTGTTCCTGTTCTTCTGGGAGGAAACGGCCGTAAGGACAGACTTTTCTCTTTTATTTCATCCTATTATACCATGGCGCCTTTCCGCGGACATATCTCTTTTTCTATTTATGGTTGTTTGTCTTGATAAGAATTTTATGCCTTCCATTATAAAGAAAAAAAAAAAAGAAAAAAAGGAGCCGCTGGTTTCCATGGAGACCACCAGATGGACCACAGAGGCTAACTTTGGTGCTGCCAGATGTATCGTAGCATACCTTGGAGGGATGTGAGAAGTTCAAAAATGTGCCTGATGTTTTAGACCGCAGTTTCCCCCGAACCGTCATAATGCTGTGATCCTCGTTGATCTTTAGCGTAATTATGATCATTGCACTATGAAGGCCATAGATACAAGCAGTAAAAGGCAGATAAAGTACAAACAGGATATCTTTAAAACACTCCTAGACCAAATCTAGATATCTGTTTGCTATTATTTTATCACCTTTGGGGTGTATCTATGGGAAACCCAGGCCAGGGCTATGATGTTTGACGCGTGTTCAACCTGTGTCTGCTTGCCCCCCCCACGCCCAGCCTTCCTATGCGCCAGCCTTTGCTCACAGCGTCCATTTTCCTCTCCACCACCATCACCCTCCCCTTATTTTCTCTATCTTTTACCTTCTTTGTTGAGCTCCTCCTGTCTTGGTCAGCTTGTATTGCTTTTCAATGAAGGGTTCTGCACACGGAGAGGCTCGTCAGCCTATGGTTCTATACTAGACCATTCAATTAAACTGCTAATCTCAGAATCATAAAGAAAACAAGTGTGGCTCAGCAGTGAAAATTAAAGTAAAGTAATAAAGAACAAAAAACCCATTATTATAGCAGAAATAAGCTTCAAGGTTTAATGGTCAGTGTTATCGGGTGGAATAACTAAAACATTGTTTGGTTTGGTTCTAAGCTAGCTACTTTCAGTATTCTTGCAGAGTTTAAATAATGTTAAGGAACAACAAAAGGTAAGATTTTAAAAGAAACTTTTTTCTTGAAAAATGAATTTTCATGCTGTAAGAGTGAGAGAGAGCAAGACTTTAAGCAGATAACAGTAAGGCTATATAGAATGTTAGAGCTGTTATTATTAAACATGCAAGATTTTAAAATTGTTGACAGTTTTTTAATGAAAGAGTTAAGTTACAGGGTTACATTATCTGAAAAATACCCTTATGTTAGCTGTTAGCCATGCTAACAGCTAACATAAGGAACACAGGCTTGGAAATCTCAACTACTTTTTCTGCTTTGAAATTGAAAAAGTTTGTTTCAAGCTGCTTCTAATCAAAATAATTAATGGTGTTTTGGTTAGAAACTGATTTTGCATGAGGTTATATTTTATGTATAATATATATCTGTGAATTCAGACACCTCTGAGTGGGATTTTCTTTAACAAGATCTACTTTTAGTGTGTTTTATTTCACAATTTTAGTAACGAAAAATGCATCTTGTTTCTTAATTATGATAGAAAACAAAAACTACTTGTAGATATTGCTAAATGCTTTGTTTCGTCAGCAGTTGTTTTGGAAAACTTTTAGCCTAGCATTAGCCCAGCATTCCAAAAAAATTTAAAATAAAAACAATCCAGTGGACTTGGTTTCCAAGTTTGGAGAAGTTTCGCTTCCCATCCGGGAAGCCTTTTCGATTCAAAATGTCAGAATTAGAATTGAGTTTGAGGCGTTTTGGAGTGGACTAAAACAAAGCATTTATTTTTGGCTTTAAAAACCTGCAAATTGAACCAGAACAGCTTCTCCCCTAAGGAATGGGGAGTTGTTTTGGGTTCTATTGTTCTGTTTTCTGCAATACCAAATACTGGTCTATGCCTCTGAAAGGGGGGTCGTTAGGGGCCATTGTTGGCATGGCTTCCCAAACCAATTTACACGTTTTCTAAGCCAAGTTTTTGGGCTACTATATAAAGCTTTGAAATCAATACTAATTCTGACATTTTGAATGGAAAAAGCTTCCTGGATGGGAAGTAAAATGTATTCAAACTTGGAAACCAAGTCCACTGGATTGTTTTTTTAAATATTTTTGGAATGACTATGACCTGGATGGCTGAGAATCTTCCCCAGCTATAGCCAAGCACTACTTTAGCCATCCTCGTGTTAAACAGCAGGTCTTTACGCTGTTGAAATCTGAACTTAAAAACGAGGTAGGCTAATCTGATCACTAATTTGATGAAAGATTATATAACCTGTCAATGAAAAAATAAGTTACTAAAAGGAAAACTGCTCACATATATTGCTGAGTAGTGAGACTGCTGACATCTGACGTTAAAATGACAAAAAGAGTTATCGGAGAAACTGCTTTTTGACAAGGATTATAGAAAAGTAGGATAGTGATGCAAAAACTTCCATTTCTTAAAAATTGTGGAAAAAATAAACTAAAATGCAAATGGAAGCATGACACAATTGATATCTAGGGATTCATTTCTGAGAAATTTGCTAAATTTTTATTTTAGGAGAGACAGAATAATCAAAATGAACAGAAATAAACGCTTTACTTAAAGTTTAGTGCAGCCATACCAGAGTTATACTGAAATAAATTAATTTATTCGACAACATTTTAATTTATTAAAGTAATATTCGTCACTAAGAATATTTACAGATCGACGGCCTCTCCGTGCCAGAACCCCACCCTTCTGTATTTTTGTAGATGTCACAAATACTTAACGGTGCCTGCTACAGTGGGATAGGAATGTACTGGACTTGTAAATACAGAGGCACTGTGTTTGTATTACTGGCTGACAAGAGGCATGTATTCGAATGAGGCAACAAGTGTAACGTGTAACTTCTCCTCAGCCGAGTACTGTGAATTACAACTTGACTCATTATTGTGAATAATAACGTATTTATTTATCGGACAGGAGTGGATTTGGGTCTTCAGAGATTTCGATGGCAAGAACTGACATCTCAGGTCGTAGAGAATAGGACACAAAGATATATGCTAACATAAAGAGAGCAAAACAACCGCTTTCTATGTAGCGTCACACCGCGGAAATCCTGACTGATTTTTCATTTGTAGCAGAGTAGATGTAGAAAAGTGTGGATGTTATTTATCCGACGATCCGGCTTGCAGCAACAGACATGACAAAGGTTATGTTTTGGTTTTTTGATAAAAGAAGGAAGCTACTTAATAATGATAAAAAAAAAAAAAAAATCTACTGAAACACAACCAAAATGATGACCACCCAAAAATAAAATTTTAATCTGAATCTTTTTTTCATGTCAGTGTGGATAAAACAGCATTTCTGGAAATAAGGCTTTGTTCCTTTGTTTGTCTGTCCGGCTGATTGGGAACCAAACTGCCAAGTTTTCATCTTTTAAAACTCGAGTGAAATAAAACGCATAGTTAAAATAAACGAGTCGCCTCTTCTTAATTTGAGAAATACATTCTTTTTATTTGCAGTGTGAAAAGTATAGATTTACATTTGATGTGACAGAAATACTAACATCCTCTTAGCAAAGTTGCATTAGAAGGTGAAAGAATTGAAACCATAGATGTGTCTTCTACAGGGGCTGGGATAGCTGGAGGTTTGTTAGATTTTACAGACAAAATTTATCACAAAATATTCCTTGAAAATAAATTTTTACTTCATAATTTGCACATTGAAGCATTGTTGTCAGAAATATACGGAAAAGAATTAGGGCCACTGAAAAAATATAAAAAGTTAAAACATTTTTTATTTTTACGGAAGAGGATTAGAGCCACTGAAAAAAAAAAAAGTTAACTGATTTTTTTTATTTTATTTTTACGGAAGAGGATAAGGGCCACTGAAAAAATATAAAAAGTTAACAGATTATTTAATTTTGTTTTTACGGAAGAGGATAAGGGCCTCTTAAAAAAAAAAAAAAAAAAAGTTAAATTTTTTTTTTTTTTTTACAAAAGAGGATAAGGGCCACTGAAAAAATTTTAAAAAGTTAACTGAATTTTTACGTTTATTTCTTAATATGGGGGGGAAAAAAGTCAGAGTTCTAAGATTAAAATTAGAATTCTGATGTATAATTCAGAATTCTGACTTTTTTCACCACATTAAACTGAAATAAAATTTTAGAATATTAACTTTTTTTTTTTTCAGTGGCTAATCATCTTCCATAGAAATGAAATTTAAAAAAATCAGTTTACTTTATCTATTTCCACTGGCGCTAATCCTCTTCCATAGAAATAAACCCACACATGAAGAGCAATCGTTTTTTTGTTTTCTCGAGGGTTAATCCCATAAAACATGGATGCTCACACAGCACATAAAGCTAAAATAGACAATATTTTAATTTTAAAGTGATTTTCTTGTATCTTACAACCTAAGAAATGTGATCTTTCTTATTCTGCTGCATCAGTCAATTATTTGAAAATAAAAATAACTAAATAAAATTTCAGTCTGACGATTTATAGTTTAAAGTTAAGCTCAAGCCTAATCAGCCAGACTGCATCATGAAGAGCCCAATAAATGGCTCAGTTAGCATTGCATCTGATATTGCGGTTAATAATACAGTTAGATTAAAAGAAATTAATTCCTGAATCTTCTATTTTTTGACCAAATAGCCATTACTAGTAAAGTTATTTTACGTTTTAGATTAACATGGAAAGGCTACATTAGTTTCGATATGCAGATCCAATCTGTCTCCATCAGTCCATCCAACATCTATACATATAGCTCTATTATTCCTTCCATAAAAGGATAAGAACGGACATCTTTGGAAAATGTTTAAAACCCTGAAATCTCATGTAAACGTGTAAATCATAAAGTTTGAGTTGTAATGAACAGAAGTTTACAGACGCATCAGGAAAGCCTGTTTGCTCTTTTCATCTTTAGCTGATGTTTCTGACTGGACGGCTCGTACTTTCTGTTGTCATTTCAACATTTCACTAATTTTTAGTTTCCAGATGGATTCTTCTACCGCAACAAACAAAACCCGAAATTAATCTGCTAAATCTGGGAAAAGTGAACAAAAACTTCTAAAACTGGATCTATCCCTTTGCCACCTGCTACCCTTTAAATAAACAACTTAGTATCAATAATTTTTTTTCCTGCCAATTATTTCCATCACACATCTAGATAAATTGACATAAAAATGCTCATATCTCATGTATAACTGTTCAAAATTCAACTTTAAAATGTCATCTTATTTGCCTGTTTTGGTTCTGGTCTCAGTTTGGGCCTATTAATATGCAAGAATATATTCATTGCATATAATTCATTTAACTGTATTTTATTGTCAAAGACAAGAAAATAACTCAATATTGTTGTTTAAAGTGGGATCGAAACATCAGATATGATGGAGAAGCAACCTTCTGTAGCCATTGGATCATTTCACAACCAAAGAAAACAATTGCATCAACAAAGTAAACTCAACAGCAAAAGGACCTCCTCTCCACAGACAAATTTTAATAGTGTTGGAATATTAGTATCCATGGTTTGTAACACTTGCTGCTGTGCATTGCCTATCAGCTGGCTGAAACAAGGCTAAAACAACATACCGGGTTAGCTTTGAAAATGTACTTGTTTAGGCATACTTTAGCTCGCAAACAAGCAGCAGCGTTACTGCAGGATGGCTGCCAGAGCAGGTAGCCCGACTAATTACCCAGCCTAAATCAGCTTGTTATTTTAGTTTTACTCTATAAAGAACAGAAAGATAAATAATTTAAATTGTTTTAATACAATGATGAAGTAGTGTTTTCACATACGTTGGTCCATACTTATATATAGGCAGATACATGGGTTAGTGTGTTGTTACTGAGAGCCTGGTGATCTTCATGGTGCATAAACAGACTCACTTCTTCATACATTTGCATCGTTTGTGACAATCATGTGGTACTTCATAGAAACCTTTTTTTTTTTTTTCTTCTTGGTATAAAGACATTTTTAAAATCCATCCTGGATCTCTGGTTATGTACACACGGCAAACGGAGACACGCCCAACAAAAGCAAACACAAAATGCACACAGCAGCGTTCAGGTGCCTCCGCCCCTGACATCCAGGCGGTGCAGTGAAGAACAGGCGAACACAAACCGCAGCGGCTCCCGTGTCGTTTTCAGTCTGTTACAGCAACTGAGAGAAGCTGAAGGTTCAACAATCAGCTCAGAGTTCCAGATTGATACGTGCCGAATCATGATGGAAATACAGACTTTTAAAGAGAGAGTGAAGTTGATTAAAAAGCTTCAGGCGTTGAGCAGCTCGTCGGCAGAGCGTCCGATGGCGTCGGGGTTGGAAAGCGGGTCGAGGTCTGCGAACAGGTTGAACCACGCCGTCATGTCTTTGGATCCTCCTGAAGCTGCAGCGGGAAACATCAGACGGAAAGGTTAGGATGAGACACAGCGGCTCTGCAGGGTGAAGCTTCTCTAAAGCTCTGCACAAACCGTTCGCCGCAGGAGTTTGAGACCGAGGAGCCGCCTGGCTCTGACCAGGGGGCGGCTGAAGGGGCGGGGCTTGGAACATGGGCAGGGTCACCCAGCCTGAAGAATGCATGGGAAATAAAACGGATGGATTTGGTTGCATGAAAACCACAAGTATATGAGACAGGAAAATTTCATAGCTGGGGTAAAAAAAAGGTTTCTTTCTTTAGGATTAGACATCTGAAAAGTGCGGCATTTATTTGTTTTTAGGCTAGTGCAGCATCTTGTGAAAATGCTTCCCTTCAGGGATGGGGAAGCTGCTATGGGTGAAAAAAAGTCTGCAGCTACTGATTATGGGCCTGAATATAAATGCTTGCCACACGTTTCAGATTCTTATTTATCCCAGTAGGAAAAGAAAAAAAACATGATGATCTGTGTGCTGCTGACCTGAGGAGCTCAGACTGTGATCCAGCAGCTGAGACGGCAGGAAGCCGGTGGGGCTGGGCGGGTTGGACGGGGGTTGGGCAGCTGCCGCGGGAACGCTGGGAGGGTCGAACATCCCGAAGGCGTCCTGCCACTCTCTGCTGAACTCGTCGCCGGCTCCTGGACCCGGGCTCAGGAGGTCCTTTAGGAAAGCCATGTCGCTCCGCTCACCTTCTTCCTCCCCTGCTGTCAGACCTGGCTCTGAGGAGAGAACACCAGACAGCAAACTGTCACCTAAACCAACAGAAAGAGGAAAATGAGTCTGTCAGCTTTAAAATGAGAAATCTAGTCGGTGAAGGTGGAGTTTGATGGAAACATTTTGGAAAAAACAACCAAAGGCATCAGTTAGGCTTCTTATCTCATCACCGTGCCTAACAGCTGGTAGGTTTGAATAAATTAGGAAGGCGAGTGATTTTCCCACAGCCAGGAAAGCTCAGATAGGAGGAGAGTAAGAGCAGCAGCTGGAAGTTAGATTTATGGTGAAAAAGGTGAGAAAACTTCTGGCCGTTTTACCCGAGACAGGCTTTTCTGGGAGGCCTGACTCGAAGCTTCCAAAGCTACAGCTCTCCTTCTGTTCACCGTCTTGGGGAGGAGGAGGGACCGGGGGCTGGACGGGGACATTTGTCGGGGGTGGGATGTTGCAGGACATGAGCATAAGGTCGTCACTGAGGTCTGCTGAGAGTCCTCTGAGGTCGAGCATGGCTGGAATGGATGGAGGAGCAGTTTCTGGTGTCATTTTAAAAGCTTCCTGTTCACAGAAAGAAGCAACAGACCCACGAAGAGAACAGCTGCCAGAGGGATTGACTCACCGCCACCGTCAGCCTGGCTCCGCCCATCACTGCTGAGCTTTAGCTCTGCAACAGTAAAACAGAAATATCACTTATGGACTGAACCAAACTGAATGTTTTCTACATCCCATCTAAATCTCTCTCACAGCTGCTGCTTGCTTTATCTAATGCAGTTCTGCGCATCAGCCAACAGGGGGCAGCACTGACCTGAATCAGACCCACTTTCTGCTGGCTTGTCATCATCCAAGGACACCAAGCTGAAAGGAAGGACATTAATAAAGTATTTTAACAAATATAAAATGTTTTCTCACACATCAAGACCGTAAGCTTTAATTATTTCAAAGTCAATTGGATAAACCAACACAAAGTAGCAGAAATATTGAGTTTGTTAGAAATGGGTTAAACGCAAAGTTAAATTTCTCCCATGTGAGATCAATTAAGTTTTATTATTATTTCTATTTTAAATCTAAAGATTGCATGCTTCTTACTCATTTTCTTCCACTTTTACTCTTATGTTACACTTCATTGCATGCAAAAACATGGCGGTGGCAGAATCATGCTGTGGTTAAATGTTGGTCTGGAAGCGTATTTCCACCTAAAATTGTCCTAGATTTTTAATCCAGTACCATCATTAGAAATAAAAAATAAAAATCAGATGTGGGGGAAAGAGAAAATAGAAACCCCACCTCTCTGTGTTGCTCTGCTGGGCTTTGCCGTCCTCCTCCTTGCTTGGGGAATCTGAGATCTGCTCCAGTGGATCCCGGAGGTGCTGCAGGAAGAAAAACTTGTCTCCATAACAACCTTAAAAAGCTGCCTGACTGAGAAATGAAGCCTGTATCACCTTGATGGTGTTAAACTGGTACGGTATGTGTCCTTGGAAGGCCTCGTGGATTCCTGACATGGCGTTGGCGGTTTTCTCCCAGAACTGCAGCAGAGTGTTCTGATGAACAGAGAGAGGTGTGTAGCTGATGACAGCAGGCTGACAGTAATAAGCGTGTTATGCTACATTCAGCAAAAACGCATGCCGCTTCATTTTTGATGCTTGTACAGGTTTAGTTCTGACCCGCGGCTGAAGCATCTTTGCTGCTCTCGCTACGCGGTGGAAAAAGTGGGTCTGATGCGTGTTGGGCGGAGCTACCCTATCCTTTCTTTGCCTGGAACAATGGCAGCTATATTTGCTGTGATCAGTGGGTAAAATGTAGTTTTTATTTTGTTATTCAGCGAGAAAGTCTACCTGAAAACTTAATCTGTCCAATCAGTTCATCCAGATTATGATCCTTCATTCAAATATTATTTCTCTGTGCGAGCCGCTTGGACCCCCGTACACCGGCGGTGTGTTGTCACCAGGAATCCCATTCAACAGCAGCCGTCTCTTCGCGGGTTTGCCACGGCGGCTGGAAGGCGTTTTTCTTGTACGTAATCCAAACTGAAGGCACCAGGATAATAAAAGTTTTACCACCAGATTTCGTCATTTTAAGTTAACTTATGCGTAAATAAACTGTTTCAGAGGAGTGACCATAGTGATCTGCATCAGCAGCGATGTGTGTCTCCCTGCCAGCTCCCAGATCAGCTTCTCTAATTGGTTGATGTTGCGCGTCCAGCAGCTGCTGCGTTTGCAGCGCGTTCCGCGCATCAGATGCTTAGGAGCTCATGAATCGCTGCTTCAGCTGCTCAAAACGCCTTGATGCACGTCAAGCATTGACTTTGCGTGTAAGCTAGCTGCTCCTGCTCCTTTAGGTGTGAACATAGCTTTAGAACTGGAGGTTACCTGGTAGGTGCAGAGGGAGTGAGACAGCATGTTACAGCGGCTCGCTCCCAGCATGTCCACCTTCTGACAAACGTCATTCTTCAGCTTCTCAAACTGGCTCTTCGTCCCTCTGACCTGAGACTGGACCTAAAAGCGGAAACACGGTGTCAGAGAACGCAGGAGCTGAGGAATAAAAGCCATCCCGACTCCTCCTGCCTTTCGGAACTTCTCCAGCTGTTTGTAGGTGTCCGGGTCCAGTTCCTGAGAGACGTCTTTCATCCAAAGCAGGGCTCCCCGGTACTCTGTGCGGGCCTTCTCCATGCGGCTGACCGTCAGCAGCGTGTCGGCGATGGCGCGCCGCCTGAAGGTCTCCACTTCCTGATACATGCGCTGCAGCGGCGGGCAAAGCGCCATCCTGCAGAAGCACACAGATAATCAGCTTTCTGCTGGCAGCAGTGGGCGGATCATCACGGGCTGCTGCTGACCTCTGCTTGGCTGAGGTGCACAGGGCCTTGCTTGTGGCCTCCATCATGTTGCCGGCTTTAGTGCGATCGCGTTCGGCCTGGAAGCGCAAAAACAGGCCGAGCTCATTCTCCTCCTGGGACAGCCCTGAGGTGAAAGGCATAAAAAAGAAAAATGAGCGTCAGCGTTTAGATGTGAAAAGAAAATGACAGAGATGAGATCGGATGGGACTCACGTGTGATTCTGTGCTGGTACTTCTCAATCACCTTCAGCAGCTCTGTGCAGGTCAGCTGAACCGAGTGGAAAAACTATAAAAGAGACAGCAAACAATGGAGGTCAGTGGCAGCAAAAAACCATCCCCACAGCATGATCCCGCCACTGCTGTATTTCACTACATGGGATAGTTTGTTTCCTAACATAAACAGCAGTCAATGACAGAAAAAGAAAGCTCTGAACCCTCAGAGTCTCCATTAACTTTAATAAAAAACCTAAAACGTCACATTTATGGTCGAACAAAGAGGCTGAGTTACTGTTTGCTGTGAAGGTGAAACAGACATTTAACCCAGCACGCTGCTGCTGCTGCACCGTAAGACGGTAAAAGGACGAGGCAGGATTACTGATTAACTACAGAACAAACAGACTCCTGGTCTCACTCAGCAGTGGTCAATTCTACCAGACATGTTGTGATGGAAACAATCTGGACTAATTCACCGATTCCTCAAGTAGAAACTGCTTCAAAAAGGTTCAATCAAAGGTCATTTCCAAGCAAAGTCTCCATTACCCCAACGAAGGAAAGTGGAAAATGTAAGACATGAGCTTTTATCAGCAGACAAACAGAAAAACAGCAAACAACCCGACCCTTTCAGCTCTGACAGGTGTCGGTTACTAGAAGAGACGCCATGCTAGCAGAACTCCAGCGCCATGATGGGGATGTAGCTTAGCATGTTAGCAAATAATCCTAATGCTGGATGGAAAGCTGCCATATTCCATCCAGGATGATTATGTGCTGCCACAATGATGGAGAGAAAGATATTAGCTTCTCCTCTTTATTGTTTTTAACTTATTTTAAAAGGAGGAACAAATTCAAAAGTGTATTAAAAAACCCAACATTTAGGGCATTCATCCTGAATAATCCCTGATTCAAACAAACATTTAAAATAACATCATTTAAAGCTAAATGAGCACAAAGTAATAAAAGCTAATTGAGCCTGATGAAGGTAAGTTAGCCCACAGCGTTTTGTGTTCAAGTTATTTCAAATCTGATTAGCTCATTTAGCGCTCCGATTATTTCTGACTGCATTGAAACAATAGCAAGAAAAGGGTTAAATGTTATGCTTTGATTTTTGTTTTCTTGGTGTAACTCTGTCCTCTGTCTGATCTCCATGCCAGCAGGAAGGAATCTGGGGACAAGCAGGCAGGCGGATCGTGTTACAGAGTGAACAAAAGGCTCACAGTTTACCCCTAAATATTCAGCAGCACACTCTTCCAGTTCAACAATGCTGCTTTTTAGGTTCATAAACATCTAGAGGTAAACAAAGACGATGGAAGCTCGACAGGTCTTCCTGACTTTAATGAAATAAATACGAAAAAAAAACAAGAAATGTTACAAATACTGAGACTCTGTGATTGGATTCCTACCTCAAGCTTGGCGTCCAGGTCAGCATCTGAAGCCACCACATACTCGTCCTCCTTCTTGCCTGTAGCTTTGATGAGAACCTGCTTAGTCTTCCAGAACTTCTTCTGCATGCGGGCCATCACCGAGCTGTCCTCGCCCAGCAGAGCCCGGCCCCCACTCAGAATGTCCCCGGCAAACCTGGAGGTGACAGCTCGGTCTAAACGACGTGGCGACCGTTTCAATCAAATCGATATAACAACGAGCCCACATGTGCCTAGTTTATTTAAACGGGTACCGCATTACAGGCTTGCGTTAGAGAGAGACACAGACAGCTGCAGCTGGAGCCATTGTGCTCCTATTTTTTTAAGTTTGGATGCTGATTTTTTTTTTTATTTCAATGCCTAAAGCTGAAAAAAAAAAATTTTTATAAAGCTCAGAAAAAATTCACTATCTTTTATGAATTTTTATGTTATTATAGGTGGAAAAATTCTGCATTTTATAATGTACACTGATTCTGAAAGAAAGTGGAAAATACTTGCTTTATAAATGTTTTGTGGCAATCAAAATGCTTCAGTGTTATTCTATGGGTCAAATAGTAAAGCAAAGCATAGTTATAACAATTGGCAGAATTTGGAGAGGTCTGGAGACGCTGGTGACACCAAAAGTTCAAAGCCCCACAGCTTTGGAACTGTTGTAGCTAGAGGTGTGACATTTTCTGCATTTGTGGTTGAAATGATGTAGAACAAATATAATATGATGAGATCTGCCTTTTCTCAAGCATGTCTTAATTACTGCTGTTCAAAAAAGACCTAAAAAAAAAAACAAAAAACTTGGGTTACATTCACACTGCAGGCCTTGATGCTCAATTCTGATTTCTTTTTTGCGTTGCTGTTCACATTTCCAAATATATGTGACTTGTATGTGATCTCCTGTGTGAACTGCAGTCATAACAACGCAAGTGTCCCACATGCTCAGTAGAGGATGCAATGACATCACAGGCCAGCTTGCTCTGTGTTTACGGAAGTAAACATGGACGGTAGCGCTGGAGCGCATCTAACGATCTTTCCAAACCATAAAAACACAATCTTTTCTAGATGGTTAAACATAAATAGAAATTCTGCTCCCCGCATCATCTCTGCCATGGTTGTTGTTTTTCTTGCCGCTTCTTCATAGCAAGACCCAGAATAGTGACCTTTGTCAGGTATTAATGGCGTTCAGGTCGGATGAATGCGACCCGGCTGCAGATTCGTATCGAATTCAGGACCACATAGACAAGTGGCCTGGGTCGCATTGGAAAAAAATTGGATCTGTGTTGTTGAGACTGTCATAACAGATCAGATACAGTTCACATATAGGCCAAAAAATCGGATTTAGGTCACTTCAGGCTGCAGTGGGAACGTGGCCTTTGAGTCGTGTTTGAACTGATGCAGCTTGGTCTGTGTTCTACTCACCCAATTTTCATTTATATATTCAGAAACCAGAGGGTGTTAGCTTTCAAATAATGTATTACACATATAACTTGGGCTTACAGTTCCTATGCAAAAAATAGGCGAGAATTTCCCAAAATGAGTAAGAGGTTAAAGGTTACATACCCGTCCATCATTGGATAGCAGCCGTTTTCTGTTATGAAGAAACAGAGGGAAAAAAAAAAAAAAAAAAAACAGACGGTGAGGTAAATTTTGTCCAAGTTTGCAGTTTTTCAATGACATATCTTTAAAAATGATGGTACCACAAGAGGTAAAGTCATCAAAAATATAAATGCACACCACACTTTTAAGATTCATAGATAATGGGTATTAATCAGCATCAGAATACCTTGAATCTAACCTTAACCCTAAATTTTTTTGGAAGATACAGATAATTATACATCTGATCTGTTTGCCTACCAGCCTCCATGTTGGTTCTTTGTACGATTAAATTACAAAATCCAAACACAGAAATCCAAAACCAAGCACACAAAGTTGTGCAATAGATGACAAAGTATATTGTAAAGGGAGTTTGGATTATTATTTTTTTTAAGTTTAGTTTTATTAACAGAAGCTTTTACAAGATATTCATAAAATTATATTTAAAAAAAACTTATTTATATATAGTCTTACAGACACACCACACAAGGAATGAGGTTTTTGATTTTTAACACCAAAAGAAAACAACAAAAGTTTCATCTAAGTATAATTCAACACACTACTTCTATCAAGGTACATAAGTGAGGAAGTTATATAAGAAGAACCTGCAAAGGGCTAAAAAAGGATATAAAGGAGCCCCTGATTTTTTCAAAGATTGCATGTTTCCCTCTGACATTATATGGTATCTTTTCGGGTGTGCAGTAAGACACTAACTCATTGATCCAGTGTATTACTGATGGTGAAATTTCAGATTTCCAGTTAACCAGGATACATTTCTTCACTGTAGTGCACGCAAGTGCTTAATACATTAATAGTGTCCCAGAGAATCCGTAGTTCTGGGTCTTGTTCAATTTGCATTCCTATTACACTTGAAGTTATCACAATGACACATTTCCAAAGTTATTTTATCATTTAGCAACTCCATAGCATGTGACACCTAGAGGAAAGTTTACTGTCAATTCTATGCAGCCTGTAAGGAGTGTAATGAATACACCTTAAGTCTTTTTCCCCATTTTCCTTTTCTAACTGTTTTATCATAAGTGTAACTTTCCACTGATTATACCATATATATTAGATATTATTAATTTTTTTATCTGCATGATTTATCTGCTTTCAAGAGGAGTTTCTTTTGGGATGTCTGGGAATGTTTCTTTTGATTTCTCTTGAACCCAGTCTCTGATTTGTGAAAAAAAAATGGAAGAAACTATCTTTGTTGAGCTTAAATTTTTCATTTATGAGTTTGGATTATTTAACAGAACAAACAGGATAGCAGCTTTTAAAAGTGGGCTGAACTCCAGGATGACAGCTGTTCCTCCAATAATCAAGTTACAAAATGCTATTCTGGCTTATCTGTGGCTGGGCAGAGCTGATGGCCGTTTTAGCTTCAGGCTAAATGGGCTAATTGAACATGGAGCTGGTAGAAGACACCTGCGACCTTAGAGCAGCTGATGTTGAAGCAGGTGTTTGGTTTCACCAAACGCTCCTTTAATGACAGGAAGAAAACCATGAGGTGTAGCGAAGATATTAGTTATAACAAAATGAGGAAAAAAACGCGATAAAATACACAAATAGTTCGCGAAAGTCTGTAAAAAATAACGTCAATTGTGTTTTTCTGCTAGCAACAATTTAGCTAGCAGCGAATGTCAGTTGGAGAACGTTAATGAAGCTTCTGACCCGTCAACAAGTCTTTTTTATTTTCTTTTTCTCTCTGTTTCTTCCTAATAAATGTGAGATAAGGAGTATATATTATTACCTTGCCGTCAGTGTTGTCCAGCGGTTCGAGCATCTATGCCGTCCGGCTCGGCTAACCTCCTCTCCTGATAGCCATCATCCTCTGAGTCACAGAAACAGGATATGTACCAGCGCTGCAGTGGCGGAGTCTGGACACCAGGGGTCGCGGTTCTTCGGATTGCATCGAAGATCGTGTAATGTGACAATTTCCCCTCTTAAAAATAAATGTATCTTTTGTCTCCTAAAGAATTTCCCCTCCTTTTTTAATAAAAAATGTGTCTAAGACTTACATTAAATGTTATATATAAGTAACATCTAAATATGGATGAAATTGAAGCTTTATGGTAGCGGCTGGAGAGGCAGGTCTTAGTTGCCAAACCAGTCTGACTAGGAAGGGTTTAACCAGGTTAAGAAAACATGAGGAAGTTTATGAGGTAAAGCATCTTTTAAAGGAAATGGAAATGTCTGAATCAGACATCCTTCTGGAAAGTATTAGAGCAGTTCTTGTTTAAAAAAAATAAACTCCAGCATAACCCTCTCTGGCCAAGGAACCATCACTTTTTTACACACCCAAACAAGGAACTGGCAAAACTAATTCATCTATATATATATTATAGGGTAAATTTCACATTCATAGAAGAAATTCAATAAAACTAAATCCTCTTAATAATACATACAATCTACAAATCAGATCAACAATAAATAAGCAAACTCCATAGTTAATATATACCAGAAACTGATACTTTATTTACCCCAAATACTAAATTCATCTCAAATCTTAAACCCCTTATAAATTTATTTACACTTATTATTACACTTATTATTATTGTTTTTCAATTCAAAAATTTCAATTCAGTTTATTTCTATAGCGCCAATCATCTCAAGGCACTAAAGTTCACCAAATTATATAGTCAGATTGATTCAAAGTTTTCTATCTAAGGAAAACCAGTTAATTGCATCGACTCATTGACTGGAATGCAATCCCTCACACTAAGCATGCTTGTAGCGACAGTGGAGAGGAAAAGCTCCCTTTTAACAGGAAGAATCTGCCGAGGCCAACTGGGGTTCAAGGAGATGGAAGCAGAGATACAACACTGCAAAAACAATCCAGAAATAAGTAAAAAATTGCTTAAATTAAGTATATTTAGCCTTAATTTGAGCAGGTAAATAAGATGATTTGCCAATGGAATGAGTATTTTCACCCTTAAAATAAGATAGTTAGATAATATTTACTTGAAATAAGAAGATAAAATTGTTTTTTCTTATTTTAAAAGGAAATTGTCTTGTTCCATTGGCAAAGTGTCTTACTTACCTCCTCAAATCAAGGAAAAACGCACTTATTTTAAGAAAAAATAACTTATTGAGATTTCTTTTTTTTGCAGTGAAAAAAGCAGCTCCCATGTCAGAGGATGAAGAGAGCACAGTCAGAGAAACAGGACTACACTGGGAAACAGGCCGATCTCGAACATCTATAATCTAAGGTGTTGATGGCAGCAGCACAGCTGATATTTTTCTTCAGGATGGAGTCACAGCCAAACAGGAACAGACCAGATGAAGCTACTATGAGAAAAAGTAGAGAGAGATTAACGTTAGAGATTGATCTAACAAATACTGCAGAATGGGATGATAGAGATAGAATGAAGCAGAATGATGAAATACGGTTCCCTATGTCAAATCTACTTCCTTTTATTATGTACTAGAAACTACATTAATATCAATGTCTCTTCTATAAATATTGAATATATTTTTTCCTGTATCTCATGTATATATATAATTTGTCAACAAAAAAAAAATTGTCTGAATCCTTTTTCATCAAATCAAATGATGCCCTTGTTTTGGATGGGCTGGTTAAAATCTAGACATAAATCCAATTCAGAGAGTTAATGTGGAGGCATATCTTAATTTCTGACTGATATTTTGTACACAGTTGTACCTTTTATACAGAAAAACATGGCTTCTTATGTGCTGAAATTTAACGATCAGCTGTTGCTCACTGTTCTTTTTGCCCGCACAGATCTACGGAAAAAAGCCTTTATCTATGCGGCTCCTTGTGTGTGAAATTCTTTACAAAGAGACTGGAAGTTTGGAAGTGACTGAGTTTTATCCTTAAATGCTTTTAAGTTGAAAATAAAGAATTTGAAATTGGCTCATTTATCTGTCATTGTTTTTTTTGTACCTGTTAATGTATTTCTGTTCACTATGTAACTTTGGGTCTATCTTGGCCAGGACTCACTTGAAAAACAGGTTTTTAAATCTCAACGGTATTTTTTCCCTTCTTAAATAAAGTTTAATAATAAATTGATAAAATTTGATGAAAAATTTAGTTCTTTGTTTAATTTTTAGTGTCTTTGCAAGAAACCTTCTCTGGAAGAGGCAGGGATTGAAAGGCCCAAAGCAATGATTTCAGGAGGAATTCATGCAAATGCTGAACACACCTTTCAGATTTGTATGCAATAAAATAAAAAATATTAACACCTAAACCCCTGAGGCTGCATCACTGACTAAATCATAACATATTTACTGTCTGCATTAGACAAGATGTTTCATATCAGCCTTGTTTCAACCAATGTATCCAATATTTATTTAGTTCAAACGATGCATGATGCAGATCACATCTGAAAAACATTTAATTACATATAAAATGTAACAATATAACTTTATTTATTTTCCAATACACCATGTAATCAAGCTCATTACTCTGCCTTCTATACAAAAAGTAATTTGCAAACCTTATTTTTTGCCAGATTTCAAATAATTTGACAAAAATATGACAAATGAAAGTAATCCAAAACAAAACTGTCTCTGAGAATTTTTTATCTTTGCTTCTCAAATGTTGAAATAATGATCTACATTTTGTGGAAAGCTGACCTTCATTCCTGAAACCCTACACAGAAAAAGACATTGTTTATATTCCTAAAATCTGAGATTGTACTCCAGTTAGAACCATTTTCTAAAACCAGGCAATTAAAACTTGGGGTAATAATTAATGCAGATTATAAATTAACCTAAAACAGAATCAAATGCAGCTTGGATTTTACTTTCCTGAGTTCAGCTCAGTAATCATTGTTCAAGAAAAATAAAGAATGTGGGAAAAAAATGGGTTCATTCAAGCAGTGAAAAACCACTTCTGGCCAAAAGCAACAAACAAAACCTTCAGAGAGCACGATTTCCTGAAATGCTCAACAGAGAACAATGATTGTGCACATAAACCTGAATCTTATTGAGGCAAGCATGATGCTAAGGGAATAAACTCTCTTATTCACTATTTACTAAGGCGGCAGACTACAAACAGATGTCATATTTTAGGTTATAGGCATTTTTTTCTTTTCCTTGTAGAAAAAACCTGTATACAAAGCTGTTCATAACATTTCCATTGTTCATTGAGATCTTAAACGAAATACAAGACACCTCTTTAGAGAGAAAATTAATTTATACTCTGGGTCAACAGGAAAACAATGAACTTATAAGAAATGATGTCCAAAAACAACAATGATTCAAAAGTAGAAAGCAAAAAGTTTGGGTTGTTGTTCCAGGCTGCTCTCTGTTTACGCTCCTGCATCCGTCTGAGCTGCTGAGTATCTGTAGGTGTAGAGCTTGTTATCGGCACCGCCGCTCAACATCATCTGGAAAAATTAAACACAGACAGCATTCAGGCATTGAAATCAGATTTTCAGGGAGTTAATGGGAAACCAGATGGTTTATCTTACCCCGCTGTCTGTCCAGTCTACACAAAACACTTTGTCCTCATGAGCTGCCAGGTCATACAGTGGAGCCTTGCAGCTGAAACCAGCAGAAAAGAGAATGAGACAAACTGCAAAATGGTCTGAAGCTTCAGTGGAGTCTGAGAAAATGACCTCAGGTTATTCTGACAAACGCAGGAAGCTGTTCCAAACAGAGCTAATCTTACTTGCTTCCACATGGTTGGAGGGAACAGGATGTCCTGCTCCTTGTGTCTGCAGTAATTATTCCATTTATACTGGAGCAGCATGAACCGAGCACGCATCCAAGTTCATTAGCTACTGAATATCAATTCCTAAGCAGCCAGGAAACAAGAGGAGGAAAACCTCTGCTGCTGGCTTAAATCTGCAGATTTTTTTTATAAAGCATATTTAGAATATTTAGAATACCCCAGTTTTGTAAGTACGTTTTTGTCATTAATATTAATAACTACTTTATAATTCCATTGTGTATGGTATTGCTGCTATAGGCTTAGACTGCTGGGAGGACATAGGGACCCCTTTTCATCATTCTGATTCTTTCCATCTCTATTCTCTCATTCTGCAGTATTTGTTAGTTCAATCTCTAACGTTATGATCTCTCTGCTTTTTTTCATAGTAGCTTCATCTGGTCTGTTCCTGTTTGGCTGTGACTCCATCCTGGAGAGAAATATCAGCTGTGCTGCTGCCATCAACACCTTTGATTATTGATGTTCCGAGATTGGCCTGTTTTTCAGTGTAGTCATGTTTCTCTGATTGTGACTAACTGGCTGTATGTTTCCTGGACGGGGGCCGCCTGTGGAGCTGGTTAACAGTTGCCTTTTCTATCTATGCTTCTTTTTCTATGTCTGCTTCTGTCTCCTTGAACCCCAGTCAGCCTCAGCAGAGGGCCGCTCACACAGAGCCTGGTCCTGCTGGAGGTTTTCCTCTCCACTGTCGCTACAAGCGTGCTTAGTGTGAGGGATTGCGGAAGAGTCAATGAGTCGATGCAATCAACATTTCATAAATGGTATTAAAAGATTTTGATAGCCAAAACTAAATTTAATGGGTTACGATGTCAAAAGATGCATAATTATTTGTTATAATGCTGTTTGATGGCAACAAAAAGATTTTTTAGGCTTTTTAAAAATACTATATTCATGCCTTTGAGACAGAATTGCTGTATTATAATTATAAATGAACCCAAAGGAGTAAAAGCATTAAATTTGTCAAAAAATCCTTTATTTCAACATGTTTTTTTTAAATATATATAACTAAAAACTAGTTTAATTGCCACAGACCTTCTTGTGTCCCAGAGTTTAACCAGATTGTCCAGGGAGCCAGAGACCAGCTGATGCTCATGGGAAGGCGCCCACTTAACTGCGGTGACCCAGCCAGTATGGGAGGTCAGAGACAACAGCACCAAGGCGCCGTCTGATGAGGTCAGCAGTATGGTTTAATCACATTAGGAATTAAGAATTGGGAGGAATCTGAAGAAAAGGCAGTTCTTGACTAATTTTGGCATTTTTATTGCTACCTTTGGTGCGCGGGTCCCAGAGTCTGATGTGTCTGTCGGTGCTTCCTGAGGCCAGCCGGCGGCACAGGGGAGAGTAGGAAATGCAGTTGAACACTTTACTGCCTGTCTGTGGAAAAAAAAAAACAATGAACAAAGTATTTGGTTTTATCAGTGCATGAAAAGAAAATTCAAAAGATAAAAGAAGATCAAATCAACAATCCATATTTGTCTCTACAAAAAACTTGCATCTTAAATAGACAGGTTTGGCTTGAAGGTGCTTCTGATAATAACATGATAACACTCATATAATCACTTTATACAATTATTTCAATGTATTTATTATATTATTATTTATGGTTTGCATCACAAACTTAAACATATTTTATTGATGATTTTGTGTTACAGACCAGAAAGCACCAGAAAATTTGCAGGAAGTCTTATTTGGCACAATCAGAGTTCATAGCAGGAAACAGGAAACAAAGGGCACTTTGGTCAAAATGATAATAATCATACACTAAACATTTTATTATTCCTCTGGAACATGGTGGTCTCAGTACAGTCTTTTATAATGGTGGGCTAATAGGCAAAATCATTTTTCACTGAACAGATTAGTGTTTTTGTTAACCCTAGAAACCAATTTGGGACTTTTAGCTTTAGATAAATTCGGTTTCACATTAATTCTTGCACAAAGAATTCTTATTATTTTCCTTTCTTTATTAAGCTGGTCTCAAAGAGCTGTTTCCAGGCAGCAGTTAGCTTTTAGCACTTTCTGAACACCAGTTGTGATGCAAACTGAGTGACAGCAAAGGCAAAAATAAAATGCTTTACATGATTACGAGTCAAACTAGCTTAGATTTAGCAGGGGAGTGGCGGCATAGAGGTTAGGGCATAGAGCTTGGGGTGCTGAGGTTCTGACTCCCACAGACTGCCACTCTGGGTGTCTGAGCAAAGACCCTTAACCCCCTATTGCTTCCCGGGTGCCCCACAATGGCAGCCCACTGCTCCCAGAGGATTAAATGCAGAGGTAAATTTCTCCAATGTGAAATCAATAAAGTTCAATTATTTGATTATTTATTTTTCATTAAGACTGGTCGGTCTTCACAAACGTATTAATTAATCCATGACACAGCACATTTTTAACTTTTTTAAATATCCTTCCCTCTTTTCTTTCTGCCAGTTAACCATAAAGTCACTGTAAATAAAAGGATTACATCTGAAAAAAAAAGGTAGGCCTAGTCAAAGTTCAGGCCTATATCCAGGTGTAATTCTCTGGCAAGACTTGTTAGTTCCTGTTTTCATTGCTACTGTGAGAAATAATGTTATTTCGCAGAGAAATGGCAGAAATATTCCATCTGAAGATGCAAAGCAGGTAAAGATGAGTGCTAAACAAATAAATCCAGGAATTTACAAACAACAGGGGCAGCTTTTTCAGACTGCTGCAGATTGCCGTAGGCCACACTTTCAGAATATAAATAAAATTTTGTGGTTGTTTTGTGAGAAAATCTGGAATAGCTGAAAGCAAAACATGTACTTCCGTGGTAAATTAAAAAAATAAAGCTCAAAAAACGTAATACTTGTCCAGCATGTCAGCCTTTAAACAGTCAGCTCAGCTCTTCTTACCAATGTAGTCTTCATGACTCCAGCTTCCACGTCCCACACTCGGATGGTGTGATCCCAGGATGCGCTGCACACCTCCTCACTGTCACACCAAAGCACGGAGGACACCGCCTCGTTGTGCCCAGACAAAGTCATCAAAGGAGTCTGTGTCCATAAGGGGGAAATATGAGTCTGCCTTGGTTAAAATCAGGAGGGATGACTTGTATTCCTCACTGGTTAGTCCATGTCCTCACCCTCGTCAGGCCGAGCTGCTGTGTCTTCTGTTTCTTCCTGGGTCTGTCAGCGGGCTCCTCCACCTCGTCCGCCTCATCTGTGGGAACTAGGAGCAAAAAATAAACATTAATTTTTGCCGTTTGATGCCGGAGATGTTTAATGCCACCTAGATTGGTATAAAAGTGCATTAGAGAGCTTTTTGATGGGTATTTTCTTTAATAACTTTGTGCATAGAATAAAAGCTGTTCTTACCTGCTGACCAGATCTTCAACATTTTGTCCCAAGAGCCACTGCAAAACTAACAACGATGAAAAAAATAAACATTTGGAGACTTTAAATAAAAACTTATCATATTATTTATTTTGTTTAAAGTCCTAATTAGTTACCTTAGAACCTGTGGGGTCTGTGGAAATAGCATCAACGCTTCCTGTGTGTCCCCGACAGCAGTGTCGGGCCTTCACCTTGTTCCTCTCAGAGTTCCACTCCCACAGCAGCACCGTCTGGTCCAGAGAGGCCGTCAGGAGCAGAGACGTCAGGCCGTCTGAGGAGAAAACACACCTTGAGGTGAAAACCTGATCATCATCACTCAACAGGGACGCGCAGTTCTGACCAGCTCACCTCTTTTGACCCAGGCCACATCCTTCACCACCTCAGAGTGTCCAGCCACCGTCATCACCGCCTTCCCCTCTAAAGACCATATTCTGGCCGTCTTGTCATAAGACCCAGTTAAGATCCTGTAAAAGAGGGAAAAGATGCAGGATTAGAATCTGAGTTAAACAAATCGTTGATGTTTTCCTGCGTTAGCCGTAAACTTACCACTCACTGTCTGCGTGCACAGAGCTAATCCAATCATCGTGCATCATACACTCCTCCGGCTCCGGGGCAGTGATCCGCTGCACGTATTCGATCTCCACTACATCTTCCTGAGACAAACCCAGAGACATATAGTTTTAAAGCAGGAGACAGTGTTAAATAAAAGTAGCTCAGATTTAGGTCATACCGTCGATATTCCCTCCGTCTCCATGTGAGTGACCAGTTGTGTTCGCAGGAACTGACCCCTGACCAGGAAGTCAAACTCCACGTTACTGTGAGACTCTGAAAAAACAAAAAATAAACAAAATCAGACTCTAAGTTCAGAACTGGTTTATTGAATTTGTAGTTGTTGTTTTTTATTATATTTATTTAACTTAAAAGATATATTCCGGGTGGATCATCTAAATAAGTGGTCCTCCTAATTGTCAATCATTCTTACGGTACGTAAAGCCGTCCTACATGTTCGTCCCCATTTTCACTTACCAGTGGTGATTCTGACCAAGTGGAAAAATTGCAAATCTTCTTTTGGAAAATAAGCTTGTATGATTGATGCAAACAGCAACTTTTAAACAGAGCATGCACGAGGAGAAATGGGCTCATGCATGCTCTCGCACCTTTTTAATAGACGTTCCCAATTGCGGTTATGCATTTGCATTTTTTTGTGCATATGGAGAGCACAGATCTTTTTTAAAAAATTAGCAAAAATCCACCACAATACCTTTAATAGTGTTGTTAATGTGCATCAGGATGCCCACTTTCACTCTCTTTAGCGAAGAAAAATGAACTAATTAATATGGCAAGAAGTAATTCGACATCAGCCTAAATTTTTGCAGGATTTTGCAGAGGTGCAGAGTTTTTTTCCCCCCCTCACAGCGACCAGAAAGAAAAGTTACAAAACAAACTCTGTTTCATGCATCTAAACTATACAAAAAGTATCTAGATCTTATGAAAAAAACACATTTACATCTTTATTAAAGTTAGAACTAACGATTATTTTGCAAATCTATTAATAGATCTATTGTTTTTTCAATTACTTGATTAATAATCAGATAGCCAAAGGTTCCTTAAAGGAGATTTTTTATTAAATTAAACCAGGTGAAACTAAAACTTTTCCACTTGAGGAGTTCTTGATAGTTTTTTAATCATAAATGCAAAATGTTTACATATTATAATAAAATTGTGATCTAATTACTGCTCTAATTGGGTCACTCACAACAGATAGATTGACTGAAGACATTAACAAATTGGAGCTGACCAGCAAACATCCTGTCGTTCTTACAGACAATGCTGCAAATATGGTTTGTGCAAAGAAGATAATGGAGCTCATGCATGTCTAATGTTTACTTTTTAACAAACAAGTTTGCACTTTTGACACAGTTTTGTTTACATTTCAAGTTTAAACAGATTTGCAATTTGCACTCTGTGTTTAATATGACATGAAAAAATAAAATACATGATTATTTTAGAAACATGGTTGAACCACTTTCATTATTGTAAAACAGATCGAATTGAAATGAATCGATTTAGAACTGTGTGAATCAAAATCAAATCGATTCAGGACTTTTATCCAAAACCTCCAGCCCTAATGATGGCTGTTTAATAAGGTTTCAGGTGGCATCATTTTTAATCTATTTGTGTTTAACTGACCATTCTTGGCCTCCAGCAGTTTGTTGATGAGGTTGCTGAGATCCTGGACTTCAGAGGCAGCAGGGATGGAGAACGGGACATCATCTACAATATACCTGCATATAGAGATAGAGGATCATCAGACTCTTCCTGATGCTATCAGATTCATAGCTACTGGCATAGAAATGATTGGCATCCATCAAGTAAAGTAACGCAGGCTAAAAATCTGGGGCTGAAGTTAATTTACAGCTCAAATCCAACGGCTAAATAAACAGAAATCACAGTTTAGCTTTACTAACTAGCTGCTCGGTTAGCTTAGTCGCTGTTTCTGCTAACTGCCGGTCTTACCTTTGATCTTCTGTGAAGAACCTCGCTTGTAACTGCGACATATTGGTTCTTTTTAAAACTAAATATCAGCTCTAAAGAAATTATCTTCTCTTCTCAGTTTTCACCTCACAACACATCTAACTCATGCAGTGTCGCCATGCGGTGTGTGGGGAGACTTTCCAGTCGAAAACAGATCGACTCCGTCGAAGGTTTGGATAGACGGTCGTCTATTCATGTCTGGTTGTTGACCTTTACCCGTGTGCGCATACGCGTCTCCTACGTCAGCGTCAGCGCCATCTTGTGTGTGGCACTTAAGTTATGAGTGTAACATTTTCTGTCTTTCATATAAAAAACTATTGAAAAAATTACTAAAGAGGATTAGGGCCACTGAAAAAAAAGGTAACTGATTTTTAAATGTAATTTCAGTTTAATAAGTCAGAATTCTGTCTTTTTACCCATATTAAAATGAAATTACATTTAAAAACCAGTTACTTTTTTTTTCCCCAGTGGCCCTAATCCTCTTCCGTATAAAATACATGGAAAAAAATAAATAAATCCTCATTATTTTTCAAACTTTATAGTCATTCGAATCACATAATCAAACTAAAGTAATAAAGAATAAACCCAGTCAAAAAAAAAAAGGCTGTTTTAGAACTGATCACTTTACAATGCGGTATTATAACTAAAGTGCAATCACTATTTAATGCCCTGTGCAATAATCTGTTAGATATATATATATATATATATATATATATATATATATATATATATATATATATATATATATATCCATTTAGTGCAATAACCCTGTATAACGTTTTTCAGGCCAAGGACCCCCTAATTATATATAGTATGAAATTGTGTTATATCAAATTGGTCCTATAATCACTCTATTACATATGGTGTAATGTAACGGAAGTAATTTCTCCCTGGGATTATTAAAGAGTTCTGATTCTGATTCCTGGTTGATGAGACAGGTGTTGTGAATGAAACGGTGCCCAGCTTGAAAGAGCTCCTGTGTGTCGCTGAATGTGAGTGTTGATGACTGAAAGACATCTTCTGCCTCCATTTATCTGTTAACTACAGTGTGTTGAATTCATGTTAATGTGGATTTAAAGACATTTCAATTAGTGGAAAAAATTGCAGTGGGGAATATAAAAAAGTCTAATCAAACAAAACTTTGTAAATTTCTCCACTGTGAGATCAATAAAGTCAATCAATCAATGATTTCATTCAGAAATGCAATAAAACCCAATCAAGTAATCTTTAACTAGAATTTAACTTTACCATCTTCCATCAACAATATTCTACATTGCTGGTTAAGAAATTGTGAGCCACTACTATCAGTGAACCTGCATTTTTTCACAGTCAGTATTACACACCAGTACTATACCTACCTATATTTTGTAAATTGACAATTTTTTGCAAAGCTGCTGTCTCTGTAAACTCAAAATTTGCTTAAAAAAAACTATATTTTAAATCTTGTTTCATTATATAAATAATTTAAGTGCACCAATCCCACCCAAAAAAGAACTAAAAATAGGCAAATACCTTTACAGAGTAGGTTTACTTTCCATTTAGTTATCCAGTTGAAAAACAAAATCTACATTCCATTGTTTTCCTCTCTGCTTCACATGCAATCAACATTTATCCTGTTTTAGGTCAGTTAAGAACTCAAAATTCAAACTTTGGTAAAACAGCTGTTTAAATAGAGGATTGTAAGAATTTAAATAACGTTTAAGTGAGTTTGCATGCTCCATCATGAGTACCTTTAAAAAAAAAGTCAAGAAAACCCAAATAATGTTATGGTTTTTTAAAGCTTTTTAGATGCAATCCCACTAATTAAGTTGAGAGGAGGTTCTATTTAGGATTTACTTGCATATAGGTCTGTAAATACATTATCACTTATTTTAAATCAATCAAAACATAGAATTAAATCATTAAAATGAAAACATAGGTCATATAATTGTGGACCTTTATATAATTGGTTTTGTCCTTTGGTACAGTTTCGAAATGCTTGATGTCATAAGATTAATAATTTCAATCATATTCAAGGATAAAGCTCAGGATAGAATGCGTCATTATCCATTGTTAAACCGTCGGGTATGAGATGAAAGACCATCCAGTTCATCAGTGTACTACAAGGGAAAAAACATACTTTTTTGAAGACAATAGAATACAAATATCTAAACAAAGGAAACGTGCAACATTATAAACATAAAGCACAAGGGAATTTTTCTGCAGCATGGACTGGTACGCTGAACAAAATGTGTGGAAAACAGTATGTAGAAACACTAATCTCTAAAGACATCAACAAGGAAGTTTTAAACTTTAGGATCAAATCCGTCTTCCAAATGAACAGGGAGCCTCAGAAGTGATTTTAAGTGGCCATCACAAACTGATAAAAGAGCTAAAAATGTGAGAACAGACCTCAGATACACCAGTCCCATCAGGAGGGAGGGGCCATGACTGTGTGCATCTGGTTCATGCTTTATATTATTTTGTGTAAAGATTCTTCTTTGTGTAATTGATGTTTTAAATGATTTTACTTGACATTTGTTCTTTTTATTATGTAAATCACTTTGAATTTTCTTCCTACTGGAATGTGCTAAAGAAGTACTGTTCTACTTATTGTTCCAGCTAACAGATGTGAGAACCTTTTGGGTAGAAAGCCCACATTTACATAAAAATGTATTCCACTTCATAGGAATTGTGACATAACTTCTAAAAACTGAAGAAAATCAGAAAACGAGTTTCCAAGCTAATCTAATCTCACTTTAGATTTCTTTACAGCATCCATTTATATTAAGAAAATGCCATTTCTTTTAATATCTTATAATCTTTTAAAGTAATTTTGAAGTTGTTTAATCCTTGTTTTTTTTATATAACACACAAAAATCAATTATTTAAACACCTTTATCCCAGTTAACTCACATCCAAGCAGAAATTTAATAAAACCAAAGCAATCTCCTGCTAATGTAGAAGTTTTAGGCAAATATCAATATATTTCTCTAAACAAAACCAAAAATTAAGTCAATTTTTTCTCTTACTTAGACGATATGAAATGCCATCCTGTTCCCATTACAGAGGGGGAAACTTTGCCACAGCTGTGACCCTTCTCACAGAGTCGATAAGCATTTTCTTGCACCAACATTTCCACGTCAGAATTTATCATTTCAAAGTTTAAAAACATGATTTTCACTTATACTATATATGCTGATGACACCAAGCTCCATTTGTCAATATAACTAAAGGAAGCTTTCTAGTGTTGTGTCAGTGGGGCTTTTCTTTAGATGCTTAAAAATAGAATAGCTAGAAAATCTTATACAAAAAAAAAAAAATGAAATTATTCTCTGGTCTATAATGTATCCCATACCGTTCACATGCGAATTCAGCAACAGATCACTTCATCCTAGAGAGGAACACTGGAGTACTTGTGCAGGTCCTTCCTCCTAGCTGCTATTAGACTTAATATGTGCAGCTCTTAAATCTTAGTAAGGGCATTTAACAATAAAGGCTGAAATTTGTGGTTCTGAAGATTTAATGTTTTTTTTTTCTTCCGCTGCTTTTCTTGTTCTTAAAAAGCTACCCCTAGTACTGTGTGCAATACCATTACCTGCAAACATTTTAGTGTTATATTTTTATTGTTTATAAAACATTTTTGTTTGACAGGCAGGTTTAACAGTTTGAATTTTGTTCCCCTTTAATTTAAGGTTAGCTCCAGAGAGAAGAGGATAACCTGAAAGTTATCCTAGTCATAATACTTAAATAAAACTACTCCTTAGAGCAGGGGTGTCAAACTGGTTCCAGAAAGGGCCGTGTGGCTGCAGGTTTTCTTTCCAACCAAGCAACACCACACCAGACTCCAGTCATCTCATCAAGTGAATGCAATCTGAACATGATGACTTGATTAGATGAATGGAGTCTGGTGCTACTGCCTGGTTGGAAAGAAAACCTGCAGCCACACGGCCCTTTCTGGAACCAGTTTGACACCCCTGCCTTAGAGTGAACATAACAATGTAACCCACAACTGGACCTGAGTGACTGACCCCTGCTGGTCAGTCATGGAACCACAAACCAGATGACATAGCCTCATCAGAACCACACACAGGAAAAACAATCAACAGATAAGTAAAAAAGTTCTTAAATTAAGTGTGCTTACCCTTAATTTGAGTCGATAAATGAGACAGTTTGCCAATCGAATCAGTATTTTCACTCTTAAAATAAGATTACATAATATGTACGGTACTTAAAAGAAAAATACGATTGTGTTTTCTCATTTTAAATGTAAATTGTCTAGTTCTAATGGCAAAATGTCTTTTACCTCCTCAATCCAAGAACAAATGCACTTATTTTAAGAAAAAATTACTTGTCAAGATTTCGATTTTCTCCAGTGCAGAAATCCAGTCTTGGCTTCTGTTGGCTACAGGAAGTTTTTAAACACGCATTTTTGTAAAATACAATTTTTTTTTATTTGGTCACATTTAGTTTCTCGTAAAAACTTAAGTCTCACATGAGTGAAATGAGAAATCTGCATTTATTTCCTCATCGTTCACATTCGATCACGCTTGCAACAGATGTCTCAACAAAGACTATGTAAAAATAAGTTGGTAGAAATAAACAATAGAAACTAGTTAAGATTCAACTCAAACTCTGGAGAGGCCGTCTATCTCACCCATTAAATGAGATCTGCTTAAATCCTTTTTTTTTTGAGGACTTGGGATAAAAATATATGATGTAAATCCATAGAGAAATAAAAACTAAAATAAAATATATACAGTGTCCGATATTTTTACTCGTCATCCTCTTCTTCCTCCTTCACCTTCTTTTTTTTCTTCTTTTTCTTCTTTTCTGTTGACTGAAAGGTAAAGACAAGAGCATTGGAAAAAAAAAAAAATTTAATGAATGATTTTATATAATCTAAGTGAAGCTTACCTCACTAACTGGCATCTCCTCCTCTTCCTCCTTCGGCTCTTCTGCTTCCTCCTCTGCCTTCTTGTCCTTCTTTTTCTTCTTCTTCTTGGGAGTCTCTGTTGCGGTTTCAGCCTCTTGCTCTGAAAGACGAACCAGACGGACTCTTTGAGCATCGTGGTTCCCTGAATGCCTCTGATAAAGCGTTTCCAGGGTTTGTACAGGAACGAGTAACTCTAATTTAATAATTTTTAATGCTCTTAGAAATAATTTTAATTCCATCAACAATTACCCATGACTCATAAATAAAAACGAGGCAAAATCCTTCATCTTTACCATCAACAGGCTGCAGCTATGTCCCGAATTCCTTGTTTTCCAGCCACTTTAGTTGAAGTTTGCATTTTCCCCCTATTCTCTAGCTTTTTCTCCCAACAAATGGCTTCCCGATTAACCGAAAGCAGTTCTGCCAAACATGCGGAACCATTTATATCTGATATATCTGATGAAATTGTTTTTATAAACTCATTTATTTTTTAAATAAATCATTTTACATGCCACAATAATCACATTTAATGATTTTTTGAATGCCAATTAAGGCCTTGATATAAAAAAATAATGACTTAATAATTTTTAATGACCTGCTGAGACCCTGGTTCATAAATTTCACACACCTTCTGTCAGTGGTTCCTTTTTGGGTTTTTTGGATTTAACCACCGGTGTTACTGGGTCCTGCTCGCTAGTCTCCTCCTCGACTTCCTCAAACTTCCTCTTCTTTGAAGTGGACGGAATCGTTGAGTCTCCGGATGGATCGTAGATTTTCACCTCACTGAGTGAAAAATAAATTACGTTTTAATTATTCATGAACAGCTTATAAAACAATAGGAGGAACAGGAATGTGTAGCCTCTCACCTCTTGTGCTGGTATTTGTCTGCTTTTGCCATCGCTTTGCCTGTTCCACTGATTCGTCGGATCTGTGGAGTAAAATCAGGAGTTTAGGCCTTTTTCACAAACCACATTTTAAACTAAATTAACCTTTATTGTTACATTGTTTTTTATTAGTTGGCCTCAAAATTATGAGCTGCATAACGTCTAAATGTTGCGTTTGTCAACCTTAGTTGGCAGAAAACTCTAATGCACATTAACACAGTGGCGGCTGCATCATGATATGGGATGCCTCTTACCTTCTTCCTCAAATCAGACGAAATGGGTGTCAATTAACTCAACTCCGTTTGTGCATAAATTTTTTTTGCAGGACAAAGTAGCTACGTTTACATGGACACAACTAATCGGATTGAAGGCCTGATCAGATCAAAAATGTTTCATGTAAACATGTCAGACTGAAGATTCTAATCCGATTCGGTCCGATCGGATCTAAATTTAATTCCGAATGAGAGAGGTGGTTTTTGCCGATCGCCATTCCGATTGGCGTCCATGTAAACACCCATTCGGATCTTAAGAGTAAAATAATCTTCACTGCGCATGTGTGCGACGTCAGCGTGACGTTTTTCCGCCTTGTCAACAACAGGAAACCACCGGTCGCTCTCGCTGTGAGCAACATGGCGGGAGGAGTCTAGGAACGCCGACTTCTACACTCAAGTTCATTTAAAGCTGCAGGAAGCAGGAATTTATCCTCCTCCTCTTCCTCTTTTCTCTCTCCACAGCCCACTCGCTCTCCCACGCCGGTTCAATCGCTCATTCTCTACATTTTCTCTCGGACGTTTTTCTTTCCGCTCGCTCCGAGCGCATCGTTTGTCAGGCCTCCCAAAAACCAGACGCAGACAGAACTGCCAAGTTTGGCAGGAAGTTCTGCGCATGCTTAAAAGATTTAATCTGATCCAACGCTTGGTACATGTATACACACGTCATGATCGGATCATTTCATTTAGTGTCCATGTAAACGGAGATTTTGAATTTCCGATCAACCAAGGTTTGGATCGGATCGGGGAAATTTTGCGCATGTAAACCTAGCTACTGAGTCGTTAATTGACAACAAATTTCATCTGATTTAAAGAAGGTGGGGGGGCTGGTTGACCTTTGATGACCTCTAGAAACATTTGTTTATATCTTTAAAATGATAGCGGCACAAACGGAAATGTTTGCTGCACAAACGTCTGACAGAGATTTGGTCCGATTTGAAGGTGGGGGTGGTAACTTCACTCAGGCTCAACACCCATATTGTTCCATGGTCTGATTTTCTGCACCACGCACCTGAACCGAAAGCTCTTTAAAAGAAACAAACAAACATATAGATGTCTCATAATTTGGAACATAAATATCACTATGATGGAAAAATTATATGGCAAAAGTAAAGAATTTACCATCCTTCTTGGATGACATGAAGAGGCTTTGAAAATGTTGGAAATAGCTATTTAAAAGCTGCAGACATCTAGATTGTGAGTCTCATTTTTGACAGATAAAGAAAATTAGTTCAAAAGCTGTTTGCTGATTATTCTTTTCAGATGCACAGCATTCATATTGTAAAAACACTGTACAGTAGAGTGTTATGTTTATTTTCTTAACTGTTACTTATTCCGTTTTCTTTATTCACTTTTAGGTCCCTATTTGTGCGACCACTTTTGCTGTAATCTTTTGCTGCTGAAACGCTACAATTTGACCATTGTGGGACAATAAAGGGATTTTCTATATTATTCTAAAAACATCTGATGGTTCAGTGGTGTCAATACTTATATTGAGTCCTTTAAGAATGTTAAACATCCAGCTTCCTCAGACTAATAAATAAACGCACCCCTCTGTCCTCCAGCTGTCGCAGTCTAGCCTCCAGCTTGGCCCGGTTCTCTACTCCCATCTCTGCATTGGTGTCTTCTCCCAGGGCGTCGTATCGAATGGCCAACGATGTTTTAGCCGCCAGCATTCTGGAAATCTGGACATCAGACAAACAGCAGATCTTAGATTCACCTTCTGACACGTGGAGAGAGTTTAACAGAAGCAGCAACGTCATCCTGAACTCACCTTTCCTTTGTTCTTCGCCGTAGTCTGTCCCACTAACGAGGCGTGATAGATCAGACCATATTTGGGCGTGTCTTTGCGGGTCTTCAGAGCTCTGAATAGAGCCTTCTCAGCTCCAAGGATCTGTACTGTTGAGGCCGGGTGCTTCGCCAGATTCAGAAGGGATCCTAAACATGCAGCATGAAACCAGAGAATGAGGAACAGCTTTCTCTTCAGACGGCTTAGGGGTTTAATAATGACAGCTCAGATGAGGTAGTGACTTAAAACCATCAAATATATTCAGTAAAATGACATGATGTCGTCATCATCACCGCTGTCGCGTTAAATCCTGAAGATTTGTTTCCATAACTTACCGGCATGTGAGATGAGGCGGGCGCCGACCAACTCGCCCACCATCACCGTCAGGTTGGGGGCGATAGCCATCATTCTGTTCTTCAGGTAATCATAGAGTTGAGCGCGGTAGTCTGAGATCTCAATGACCTGAGGAGAACGATAGATCGACATCAGAGAAACGCACGGCAGGAGCCCCCTGCTGGATAAGACCGGGACTGTTCAGAGGAGGTAGTGACTGACCCACACCGAATGTTTCAGGAAAACGACGACTGTCAGCATCATCATCCCAGCCGCTTCAATCATCTTAGCTCTGATGCTAACAGACTCTTACCTGGTCGCACAGGTGCTGGATGTTCCCGATGTCCTGCTCTGACACTTCGGTTCCCATGGAGATCTCTGCAGCTAGTTTAACCTCGGCTTCGATCTCCTCTGGGAGGATGTCGGACATGTCAGTGGTGGACACGTTGGTACGGTCTCCTGCAAACACACAGAGGTTTTAGCTTTTCCTTTTAAAACTACAATGAAAAGAAAACCCCAAAACAAAAATGAATCCGTTTTCCTTCCTAATGAAGCTCACCGACTTTGCGGACGGTCTTGCAGTACGCCAGATTGTCCGTGACAACCTTTCCCAGCTCAGGGAAGTGCCACCCGTACCACTCTCTGCAGCGCATGATGTAATTGTTGAGCTCCTTGTCCAGGTCATCTAGAAGCGCTGGAAGATGGAGACGATAGAAGGTCACTGATGGGATAAACACTCTACTGCAGATCTTCAGAGTGCAGAGAGGAAGTGACTGCACACATATCGCAAGGGTTATAATACAAACTACATTTCTGTATAAACTTTGAGTAAGGCAATTAAGGATATCAGTCTGTCGAGTTAATATGATTCAACTCTGGCTCCGTGTTTAGGCTTTACACTGATTAAAAGTAGGGATGCACCAATCCACTTGTATTCATTGTGATCAGAGTGCAATACTTGAATGAATCTGAAGATCCAGATACATTTCCAGTGGGTTTTCTTTAATTATTATGATTATTTACTACTTCTGTTTTTTTACGAGGATGTCATTAAATCCTAACAAGCTAATATATGTAGAAATTTACAAAAAAGGCTAACTGAGATTAGCATATGGTCAGAAAGGAAGTCATAAACAACCCCTGAGGATAACTATACAGTTTCAATCTGATTGTTTATTAAATCAAAGAAGCTTTAAGCTGTAAACTTCGCTGCAGAAATCTAATCATCTAATTTTTGTTTCCCTATTATTTCAGATTACATCACCACAGCAGGAAGCTGCAAAACCTACAAAAACATACAAACAAACAAACCTGGAGCCCCATTGAAAGCAACAGAAATTCTACTTGCACATATCTTTAATGGTATTTTACAAATTTTCATAATTTTTCTTCTACTTAATTATTTTTCACAACTTTATCTTGGTCTGCATCACATAAAACCTCAACAAAACAAAAGTTTGTGGTTGAAGGCGAACAAATAGTGAAAGTTCAATGTGCTGCAAATATTCCACACTTACAGATGGCCTGAACGATCATTGTGTCGACCTTGTCCGGACTGAACTTGAGCTTGTAACGGGATAAACTAGAAACAAAGGAAATAAATATATCTGTTAATTAATTTGTTGACGTCTCTAGTAAGCAAGAGATAAAGACCAAAGAGCCTCAGTGGTAGTGACGAATGCTGAAGAAAATCCACACCGTTGTTTCAGACAGCAGAATGTAATCATAGGCAGCAGCTGATCTAGAGCCTCCTTCTGTTCGCTACCAACCTGTGAGCCAAACCCAGCGACATGGCGCTGAACTCCCTTGGAGGAAGCCCAGAGATGAGGCCCTCCATCTGACTCCGGATGCATCTCATGAGCTCGGCCACCGCGGGGCTGTGAACGCAGCTCAGGTCCAGCTTTTCCTAAGAAACCCACTTCGATCAGATATCTCATCTTGAACGCATGCTGATCACAATCAGTTGGTTTCTTACTTACTTTAATGACTCCACCCAGTTTAGCATCGCTAATGGCCAGCTGTTCATGAGCTTCTTTGGCTACAATTTTCTTCAGAACCTTCTTCAGACTCTTCCCAATTTTTCCCTCGACAAGAGCAGTGGCCGCTTAGGAGAAGAGAGGAGAAAAGTAATCAAACACGTTCAAAAGATAAATTAAAGTCTCTTAATTTATGTTTCTATGCCATAAAAGCCTTGGTGGAGGATCTATACTATGACCTTTCCAAATTTATTGCATTAAAAGTCAACTTTGTGTCTATTTTAGATAGAATCCAAATAAAAATTGTGCTCATCTAATCATAATCAAATATACAAGTTTTTCTGGTTACAATGTAAATATAAAATATCGCCAAGGATGTTAATGCTACGTTCAAACCTAAAGCAGCAAAAGCTGCTAGTTTACATGCAAAGTCGATGGTTGGCGCGCATCATAGCGCATCAAAACGTCACGCAGTGCGTTATGAGCAGCAGGAGCAGCACGTCGTGAGCGTTTGAGCATCTGATGTGCGCTGCAGCAGCTACTTAAGTGGGAAAAATTGAACTTTTGCTGCTCGATGCACCACATCAACCAATCAGAGAAGCTGATCTGGGCAGATCACTATGATCACTCCACTGAAACAGTTTCTTACCGCCTAAATTAACTTAAAATGCCGGCAAAACATGTTCGCTTTTATTAACCTGGTGCCTGCAGTTTGGATTACATACATGAAAAACGCCTTCAAGGCTGCATCAAAAATGAAGCAGCTTGTGCGTTTTTGCTACTTGCGGTCTGAACGTAGCTTAAGACATTTACGAGGCATAGTAGACAATATGATCTCAGTGGTAGTGACGATTGTGGAAAACCTCATGTTTATATCAGCCACACTCAAACATCACAGACCAGATTTTGTGCTTCTCTTAGAACAGAGGAGAAGTTGCAGTACCTGCTAAAGCCTCTGTTGTGTCCTGGAACTTCTCAAAGTGCTTCAGTTTCAATCTAGTGGTAAAAAAAAAAACAGAAATCAATCAATGGGAGCCCACTGATTGGACCGTGTGAGATCACAGGGTATAAAACATCTAAACGTACATTTTGTTGGCTTTTTCAGGAGTTTCAAACTCCTTATACAGGCTGTCCACCTGCTGCAGCTTGGATTCATCAAGGACCTAAAAAAAATCATGAGAAAAACAGATAAATAAAACAAGATCAGCAATAAAATCAGAGCTTTAAATAAAAACTAGCCTGCAGAATTAGTTACCAAACAACCTTATAAACAGATAAACTAAAACAGATGATGGGCGTGAACAGGAAAATGTTATGATTACACTTGGATCAAAATGGAACCTCTTAAACAATTGGTGTAACCATGATCTGACCTGCACATATCTTTATAGATAATTATTAAACTATTAATGTACCCTGCCATTTCAGAGGCTCTTATTTAATCACATCAACAACAAATAAATTGACTGATTGAAGCAGAGACACATTAAAAAACTAATCTCCACGTGGAATAAACAGGCAGATGAGGCTCCATGCGCGCACGTGCTTACAGGCCCATTGAAATGCTAGCTTTGGGGTAGCATGCTAACTAATAAAGAGATGCATGATCGCGTAAAATAAAACTAAATATAGCATTTTAACACATGGAAAGCAATTTCACAACTTTAACATCACTTTATCTGCACACCAACTCACAATAAACGGTATTTTCAGAGCAATGTTAGCTAACCGAGCCTTACTTCGCAGGAAAAAAGGGTTACAATGTGAATTCCGCCTCAGCAAAAGGGAAATAAAAACTCTTATACTTACTTTAAATATGGCATAACCAGCGGCGGTCTCAAAAAGCACTAACATTTTGAAAACTGTGTGAAAGCTCCCCTGGTAGGAGAGCTGCTACAGCCTAGCTTCTCCGCAAACTGTTTCAGACACGCGGAGCGGAGCGGAGCCTATTCTTCTTCTTCTTTTCTATTATGGTGGATCGCAAGTAACTTTAAGGTGCATACTGCCACCTACTGTACATGAGTGTGTAGAAACATTACTTTACACAACATTAATTTACATCAAATTCTATTTTGTCATTTTGTATTCTGTAAAAAAATAAATAATGTTTTTTTTTTTACTGTGAATATCGTTTATATTTCCTATAATATCTCCAATATTCCTTTAAGGCTCCATTCTTTGCCTAACCTTCCAACCATCCTAAATTTCTCCCTTTCATGTTCATAAGTTTTACAGTTCATCAGTACATGTTCTACATTTTCTTTTTCTCCACATCCTTTACATTTATCAATATTTTTCCTCCCTATTAAATATAAATTGCCATTTAATTAGTTATGACCCACTCTTAATCTGAATTATTATTTCTTCCCTTCTGTTTCTCTCATTAATGATTCTATTCAATACTGACTTTTGGACCTTATATAATCCTCTTCCTTTCTTATCTTCGTTCCATCACTTTTGCCATTTTTTTACTCTTAATAAGTGATTTCCCTTCACCTTTCCCAAAAGGAATTGTAATCATTATTGTTCCCTGTAAAGCAGGGGCGGAGCTAGATGGGGGGCCAGGGCCACCCTTAGCCAATCATTGGCCACCCCTGTGGCCACCCCTACCATTTTTTCCCCCTCTCATACAGTAACAATAATAATCTCAAGTGGAATATTCAAAATTTTTATGGTTAATAATATACATCAATACACTAACAGGATGGATTTGCCCACTGTAGGAGCATTTGATTTATTGATTGATTTTATTAATCTCACAGTGGAGAAATGTACTCGTTACATCAGCTCAAATATAGAAGAATAAAAGAGTAGAGAAGGTGCCAGAGGAAGAAAAAGGTGCATGAGATATATATAATATATACAGTGAATCCACACATGAACGCTCTTTTTTAAAGTTTTTATTGCAGAATCATTATACAGGTTATTTTATATATAGATAGATATTTATAGTTATTTCACTGGGTTTCAAATATAAATGAACAGGTTATTGCACAGGGTATCAAATAGTAATTGTACTTTATACATTGCACAAGTATTAGCCTGGGTGCCAGTCCGAACTTAGTCCCGCCCACAAGGTTTGAGTTCGGGGAAGTTCGGTCTGGCTCTGCTCCATAGTAGCGCGAGTATTAAAGCCCACTGTCAGGCGATCCAATCAAATTGTCAGGGCGGGCTTTATATGATGATGGACAGATGATCAAGAGTAACGTTATCAACCACGTGACCAAAGCGCGCTTGGGTGACAACAATAATGGCTGCCGCTGGAGAGTTTGGGTGAGTAGATTCTGCTATTAGGTCTGTTCTAGAAGATATCGACAGCAAATTAATTTTTAAAAGAGGAACAGAGAAACGCGATCAAGTCTCATCTTCTTATTATAGGCGTGCAACTGCACGCTTTGATTTTTGTGGACAACAACTATGCCTCGCTTAACATACGTCACGCACTCCGTTGCTCTTATTGGTTGTAGGTCTATCCAATTGAGTGCAGAGGCATTTTTTTTTCTGGTTCGTTCAAAACACGCCCCATAATCACAGCTCTATGGAGCAGCATCAGACTCATATTCTGACTAGAATTGAGTAGGACTACGTCAGGCTACACAAGTATATTTGTCCACTATATTTTAAGTTAAAGGAATAGTACACCCAAAACATGATTAGCCTTCATTTTCTACTCACCCCCATGCTGAACAACACCCTGGAGTACTTTTTTGATATCTCAAATGCATCTGGAGATCTGGGAGGCTTCTTGCTGTCTGCTGACATTCAAATAATGGAGGTCTATGGTGACCGAGACAGAAAGGTCCATAAAAGTCCACAAAAAACGTGTCAATATTCCTCCATACTGCTCGTCCAATGTATTCCAAGTGTCCTGAGTGGGTAGCATCCAGAATTTACTCGAAACGAAGTCATTTAGAATGTTTTTAGAGCATAAACAGTAGTGTATAGGATTTCCAGAAAGCGCGTTCATGAGTCTACGGAAACCGCGGCAGACCAAACCAGATGAAAGTGCGCATTCAGCTCAGCAAAGAACTCATGCTCTTCCTCAACACTGAAGTCCTCAGACATTTTTCTTTCGTTGTTTCTTTCTTTGCACAGGTAAACAGCACATTTCTTCTTCTACGCTTGCATTATTGGCAGAGCAGACGCTGAATGCGCACTTTCATCTGGTTTGGTCTGCCGGCTTCCGTAGCGCTGTGAACGCGCAGGTGCGCGCTTTCAGGAAATCCTATACACTACTGTTTATGCTCTAAAAACATTCTAAATGACTTTGTTTCGAGTAAATTCTGGACGCTACCCACTCAGGACACTTGGAATACATTGGACGAGCAGTATGGAGGAATATTGACACGTTTTTTGTGGACTTTTATGGACCTTTCTGCCTCGGGCGCCATAGACCTCCATTATTTGAATGTCAGCAGACAGCAAGAAGCCTCCCAGATCTCCAGATGCATTTGAGATATCAAAAAAGTACTCCAGAGTGTTGTTCAGCATGGGGGTGAGTAGAAAATGAAGGCTAATCATGTTTTGGGTGTACTATTCCTTTAAGATAAAATAAGTCATTAATAATTACAATATTTATCAAAAAGTAAGAGGTTCTCATGTGTAAGGATGTGCAATATTTCTAATTGTACTATAGTTCTTTTGCAAATGTGCATGTTTTGTTGCTCATTGGTGAGTTTCAGGACGTTTAGGGGTGTGGCTTCTGATTGAGTGTCAGTCAGGTAACTGGAGTGGAGCCGAATTCATTTACATTTCACCTAATCTTCTTTCATTATTTGATTTTTGATTTATATTTCCTACATGTATGGTTCATATTCTTTGAAGTAAATGGTTGAACCTAATGGAGAGGATCCAGTTTGTTAGTTTTTTACAATCAAGTGGATTACAGAGGGGGAAACAGCGTCAAGCTTACGAGTTCATTACTAAGGAATCTTTCTCCACCATTACAGCCTTAAACACATCTGGTCCAACAAACTGACTTCAGACGGAGCATAACTGATGATATTTAAAAAAATTCATACTGCTTTTGTGATTTTCTGCAGCACACGGGAAAACTGGTCAAGTTTAGAGACGCAATGATGGGTGAAGCTAAACATTAAAAACTCAGACATTACAGAGCCAGATCTTCACTGGAATCGCTTTAGAATAAAATGATAAACATGTGCTAGAATGGTTAAAGTCCAGACCAAAAACTAGGCTAGAATCGTCCAAGCCTTCCATCTCAACTGATTTAGGATCCATTCTTTAGCTAAAAAGAATAGGCAAATATTTCAGAAGGAAGATTTTTAAGACTAACTTGCCAGATGAAGTAAAAAGTGGTTGTAAAAAGTATTGATCCAGGAGGACTCGTATACAAATGCATGTTTCGCAAAAATGAACACACTATACTGTGTTGGTCTGATCCACATTATATAAATATAAAAAGATTAAATATATTTTTTGTTTATGGTTAAAGGGCATTGAAATATATTACAAATGTAAGTGAATGGCTTTTAAATACTTATTGGACATTTTCTGGTATATTAAATTTACTGACAATAAATATGTTTGGGTGAGTTAAGGCTTTTAAACATAAGAGTGCAGTTTCAGGCAAAGTGTTGGCAGCATTATACTGTGGATCTGTTGAGCAATTAATGGTAATATACAAAAATTAGATTGAAAAAAAAATGAAATTTTACATCATACACCAACAATTAGTAGTAAAACCTTTTTCTAACAGGATACTGACATCAAACACGTTATAAAACATGTTTAGGAAATGGATAAGGCAGATTAAAACACATAAAATAGGTTTAAAAAAGCGAACCCTAACTCCAAAAACATTTTTTATTATTCGTAAAGAAGAGCCATATTTACCAAAGCAGAGATTAACAATCAAGATTAACTAGAATCAGAGGGTCCTGCTTATACTCCAGTGTTTTTACAGAGTTTATATTTCCGCAGTTTTTACAGTTGAATTAAATGCCATTATGTTAGCTTTAGAATGGTTGCTTTATGATAATGTTAGGGAAGGAAATAGTTATAATATTGCATCAGATAGTCAAGCTGCATTATAAAGTATCAAATGTGGCAAGTCTTGTAGATCAGATCTATTATTAGATATATGTCACCTATTAGTTCAGCTTCATAATGAGAAATGTTTTGTTAGATTTGTCTGGATTCCTGCTCATGTAGGGATTGAAGGAAATGAAGAAGTAGATATATTAGCTAAACAGTCCTTAAAATCAGATATTATTAACTTAAGTATTCCTTTAAGCAAAAGTGAGGGTAAATCTATAATTCAGAATAATATCTGTAAGGTTTGGCAGGAACAATGGGGTAATCATGACACTGGTAGAGATCTATAGAACCACTCGAAGTGGTTCAGAAAGCGCAAGAATTTTGACAGGCATTTAGACAGCCTAAGGATTCAGTCAAGATGTGGGTGTTTGTTGGAGAGCTGCTGTCAGCTGCATAGAGTTTTGATAGATTCTAAGAATAGATTGGTTGGAAAAACAACCAATCTAGTTGCTTAAAACTATTTTGGTGAGAATAAACAATGTAATGATCAAAATCTGGGCAAACAACCAGACACAGTTGTAACATAATATTTTCTCCATTGAACAGTTCCCCTCATAAGTGGCATCATCTGTAGGGCATAGACTCCCTCTCATGGATGATGGTTCAAGATCTACCTTTGGGTTTTGAAAGTTGCGATTATACTTAATTTTTTTTGGCTGATGATACTAATTTGTATTGTTTTGTCCTCATAAAAATATAGTTTGGGTAAAAACGTTGCCAAATTAGGTTGATTTAGCCAAAAGATTGGTTGAACACAACTTCCAACCCGATTAAAACCAAAAAAATGTGTAATAATGTTAATTGGAAAAAAAAATGTTTGAATAAAAATGACTAACACTTTTCATTTTGCTCACCAATGCCCAGTTTTCACAAACACTTTCACTGTCTGCTTCGCTTCAGCTTATTTCACTAAAATGGCAGAACAACAGTGCACCTTAAATGATTGTTTCAAGACATTTTGTTTTTTGATTTTTTCAAGACAAAATTAAAAAAGATTTTATTATACACACCAACCATTAAAAATGTCAAAGGAACACAAAAGGGAGAAAAAAAAGAAAAACAATTGCAAAAAAACAACAACACACATTTTATTAAAAAACTGTAGTTCTGCACTCCACCAGTAGGTGGGGACGTTTTCAAATGACGCTTCATGAACTGTGGGGATCGTTGAACCAATTTTGCCAAACGGTTCAATGCCTCCTGAAGCCTCATCTCACAATCGCTACTTTTGACTTTTAACAACACGTTATTTACACAATTCAAACATATAAACAATTGACGGAAAACAAGTGTCAGTTAAAATCGTTAAATGAGGAGCTTGTTCAAATGGAGTTCTCCATCATCTGACACAGTACATAAAATGTTTTTAAAACCCCACAGCTGAATAAAATCCTCCATGTTGTGTTTGGCTCCATGGAAGTGAAACTCCGGCCTTATTCTGGCTTTAGCGTTGCACTTCCACAGAGCCACGGGATCAAGGTGAAGAAGAAGTGTTGAGAAAGTTTAGATTTCCGACATTTTTGAACGCAGCATACTTCCCTTCCCTGTTGTTACGGAAGTGACGAACTCCCAGAACATCAAATTTGTGTAAAATAATGGAAAAAATGATTAACAATAGACTAATATTTTATTTAAATAGCAAGGGGTATATAGTAAATTATCAAAGTGGATTTCGAAAAGGGCGGAGTACTAATGATCCAACATTATGTCTAGAGCATGAAATTAGAAAGGCACAAGTTAATAAAGAAAATGTGGTGGCAGTATTTTTTGATATAGAAAAAGCGTATGATATGATGTGGGTAGAGGGATTATTAATTAAACTATATAGGTTGGGCATTAAAGGAAAGATATATCAATGGATTAAAGACTTTTTACTAAATAGGAAAATTCAAGTTAGAATCGGTGAAGTAACATCAGGAGTATATAGAGTAGAGAACGGTACACCACAGGGGAGTATAATAAGTCCGTTATTGTTCTCTATTATGATAAATGATATTTTTAAAGGTATTGATAAAGAAATGGGATGTTCACTCTTTGCGGATGATGGAGCGGTTTGGAAAAGAGGGAAGAATTTAGATTTCATTGTTAAAAAATTACAAGATGTTATTAATGAGCTAGAGAGATGGGCATGGCAATGGGGATTTAAGTTTTCAGTCGAAAAAACAAAAGTAATGGTATTTACTAGGAAAAAAATAAACAGGGAAGTAAAATTAAAATTATATAGTCAAGAGTTAGAGCAAGTAAAATGTATTAAATTTCTAGGATTATGGTTTGATGATAAACTAAAATGGAATGTACATATCCAGAAAGTTGTTGATAAAAGTAAGAAAATCTTAAATATTTTGAGATGTTTGGCTGGAAATGATTGGGGAGCAGATAGGCAATCTTTGAAACAGGTTTATACAGGTATGATAAGAGCTAACATAGATTTTGGTTGTATTGTTTACGGTTCAGCAGCAAAAGCACATTTGGTTAAACTAGAGGTAATACAACATCAAGCATTAAGATTGTGTTCTGGAGCGTTTAAAACCACACCAAGAGCAGCAATGGAAGTAGAGATGGGAGAAATGCCATTAGAATTAAGAAGATTAAGGTTGGAATTAAATTATTGGTTAAATTTGCAGAGCAATAATTCAGATCATCCAGCTATGGAAATTTTAAAACCATGTTGGGAAAAAGAAACAAAAGATATGGGGAGTCTTGGATGGACAATTGAAAATAAAATAAAAGAATTTAACATGAATAATCTGGAAATTAGTCATACAACACCAACATCAGTAATACCGCCATGGATTTTACCAGAAGCAACAGTAGATATGACAATCATGGAAAAGAAGCAGGATAAATCTTTCATCATTGATAGTAGTTCAGTACAGGTACATTTAAACAATTACTATCAGTATATTCAAATCTATACAGATGCATCAAAGATAACTGGAAAAGTAGGAATAGCGTTTGTTGTACCAGAATTCAATATAAGAATAGGAAAACGAATTACAGACGATTTATCAGTATACACAGGAGAAATGATGGCAATTTTATTGTCCTTACAATGGGTAGAAGAGATAAAACCATTAAAAACAATAATCTGTTCAGATTCAAGTTCTGCATTATTAAGTATTAAAAACAAGCAATCGGATAGTAGAATGGACATATTATTAGAAATTTTTCACACATTATATAGAATTAAAAATATGGGTGTGATAGTTATTTTTGTATGGGTTCCAGCGCATATTGGAATAGAAGGAAATGAGAGAGCAGATAAAATAGCAAAAGGGGCAATTCAAAAACCAATTAGCATTAAAGTTAAAACAAGTAAAGCTGAAGGAAAGAGTATGGTTAAGGAAAAACTGATGGAAAAGTGGCAGAAAAGGTGGGATGAAGAAATAACAGGAAGATGGTTTTATAAAATTCAGAAGAAGGTTAAAGAAAGAAGAAAGGGAAAAAGAAATAGAAAAGAGGAAAGAGTGATAACCAGGATAAGATTTGGGCATACTGGACTTAACTACTCACTTTTTAAAATTCAAAAACATGCAACTGGTAAATGTGAATATTGTGGAGAATGGGAAACAGTAGAACATGTTATTCTAGAATGTGATAAATATGAAAGAGAGAGAAGATGTATGATAAAAGAGTTTGAAAGTATTAAGGTAAAATTTATGTTAATAGATATTTTGAGGGAAAGTTTGGAGAGCAAACATATACAAATAGTTATTAGATTCTTAAAGAAAACTAAGATATTCAGTAGAATTTGATAGAGTAGACATAAGAGTGAATGTGTGGATGATAGTGATGAGTAGAATATAAATATGGATGTAAGTTTGTTTGTGTGGGTTGGTAGGTGTATGTATGAGTATATATAGATATATATATACAAAAAGAGCGTTAGACCAACGAGAGCCACACTCCATACCAGTAAGTGGCGGTAATGCTACTATTAAGTTTGTTGCCAACCGCCAATAAACACAACAAGAAGAAGAAGAAGAAGAAGACGAACTCCCAGCTCAAACATGTGCGTCCAGGAGCTGCACGCAGAGGGGAGCTTTTAGTTGGGTTTAACTGGACATTAGTGGAAGCAGTAGAAGGAAAACTTGACCCACCGAGAGAAATGAGTGAACCTGAACGCTACCCTCCGCCGGACTTCAGCTTCATGCAGCCCCAGCAGCAGCAGCAGCAGCCCCGCTCCAGCAGCTTCCATCCCAGCATGTGGACCTGGGGAGAGACGCCCTCTGAGCCCAGCTGGAGCTACAACCAAGGCGGCTATCATCAGCCTGCTCCATATGGACCTAAACCTACATTCAGTTAGTAGATCCTTTACTCACTCTATATATAATATAAACATTAACTGATACAGGAATATGTCAATGCTTATTATAGTTGTATTCAAATGTATACAGATGCATCCAAAAGTGTGAGTAATAGGCTAGTTATTGCATTTTATGTTCCAGATTTCAATATAAAAGTATATAGGAGAATTAATAATTATTAGATTTACAATAGATAGAGGAAGTTAGACCGAGTAAGTTAGACATTTTAATTGAAATACAGCAAATTTTATATCTAGTAAAAATGATGGGTATTAGTGTTATATTTATTTGGGTGCCAGGACATGTAGGGATTAAACGAAATGAAAATGCATATAAGATTGCTAAGGAAGCATAAAAGAAATAAAACCATTGATATGATGATTAACTTAAGTAAGACAGAAATTAAAAGTATAATTAAACAAAGGATGAAGGAAAGGAGAGGAAGATGGTTTTTTCCAGACTTAGATTTGGACAAACAGGATTAAATAATACACTATTCAAAACAGGGAAACATTTCAGGCAAATGTGAATATTGTGGACAAGATGAAACAGTAGAACATGTAGTGATGTATAGTAAGAAGCATGAAGAAGAAAGAAATTTGGTTAGAGACCTCAATAAGGAGAAAGTTACATTTGATTTGATAGATATTCTGTAGAAAAAGTAAAAATAAGCAATATTTATTTGAATATTTAATAATAACAGGAATAATCAGGAGGTTTTAGTATTTTTAAAGTAATAATATAGATATATAGATTAAAAATAAATATGAGTATCTTTATGAATAGAGCTATTCTGATCCCCACTATTTAATGGGTAATGCACCAAAAAGTTATTTACCAGCCGCCATTAAACGCAACAACAGGACAAGCTTCAGAATTATGATCTGTTGACTTTAATTTAGTAATATAATGTGTCTCTTCACTAATTCATGTGGATTTTGTTCTCTTAGATCAACATTATGCTGGTGAGTGGTATCAAGCTGGATATCAGAACCACAGACCTCCCTACCAGCACAACAAAAAGGTGACTTTTTTTATCTCTTTGTCTTCCCTTTACCTCTTTCACATTTACCTGCAGTCGCAGCATAAAGGTTATAGCTTAGAAAGGTTTATTTACAATTTAAATGGTCTCACAAATATGGACCATAGACAAATATATAAGGATAACATAGTAGTGAAGAGTTAAAAAGATAAAAAATAAAATACTGCAAAGTGTTTTAACAATATAAAACTGTGCACATAGAGAATAAATAACCAATATACAGCTTTGAACATTTTTTTACAGGGATGCATATTTGAAAATAGAGATGTCCAAAATAACAGCAACATGTTATTTCACTGACTAAGTTAGAAAATCTGCAAAAATCAGCATGAATATAGCAACCTATTGAGGGTGTTGGGAACAGTGGTGTTTATAAAGTCTATCAAGGAGGAAGGATCTGTGATAACTCTCCCTGGTGCATTTAAGGAGCAGCAGTCTGTCACTTAAGGAGCTTTCCAGTTCTGAAACAGCTTCTGGAAAAAAACAATACATCAGCAGAAGATCTAGAGTATAATCTCTACAAAAAATATTACGTAAATGATTATTTTAGAAATGGTGATTGGTTCAAATAAGATAATTCTGATTATGATGCCAACATTAACAAGAGAGGGTTCTGGACCGATGGGAATTGTTGGTTGGAGTCATGTGACGCTGAGGTCAGGCTTGCCAGATCCTGGTAGCTCAGGTATAGAGCTGAGGAACGGCTTCTTCACAGAGCTACATTTCTCAGAATAAAGCCAAAAAAGAAGCAAAATTACGTTTATCAGTCAATATTTTGAGCATCGACGCCCATTTAAGGAAGGAAAGGTTACAGAGTTCCTTCTGGACAGTTATTTGCTAATGGTAAGCATTAACATTAGCGGATCTGTGTGCGCCGCTTACTCGCTAGGAGGAGTTAAACTTGTAGCTTTCACCTTCTTATATGTCACACACTTATAGATAATGATTTATAAAGTTAAACACCATGCATTATTTTCTTCCATTTTCCAGTTATGCGAAGATCAGTCAATCTTGCTCATAAAACCTTAACATAGATTGAATAAATGTGTAAAAGTCTGATGTGTATGAATACTTCTGTAAGCATAGCTATTTGTTTTCTCTGTTGGACGCAGCAAAGGAACAGCAAAGAGCCGGAGTTTTCCCATTACTGTGACACCTGTGACCGGGGCTTTAAGAACAAACCAAAGTACGATGAGCATGTTTCTCAACATGTCAAGGTATTTGACCTCTATTGCTTTACTACATCCAGACTGATCTGACTCTCTGCAACATTTTGGATTAATTACCTTTACCTTAAACATCAACAGTGTTCTGTACCTGACTGCAGCTTCATGGCTCATGAAAAGCTGGTCGCTATCCACTGGAAAAATGTAGGTAGGCTACATCTGCATATGACCTAAAAGCGTAGGGTTTTCCTTCCTAACATGTCTACCATGTTCTAATGATAGAACCATGCTCCGGGGGCCAAAAGAATCAAGCTGGACACACCAGAGGAGATTGCTAAGTGGAGAGAGGAGAGGCGCAGGTTAGTCTATGGTGTTTTTAATGTTCGGCTACCTGTATTTAATTATTCCTGTCCATTTTAACAAACTGGGCTTTAATTCTATATTTGCAGAAACTATCCCACGCTTCAAAACATCGAGAAGAAGAAAAAGGTGATGGAGGTGCGGGAGCAGACGGGAGGAGTCCTGGAAACGGCTCAGTTTGGGTCAGTATGTCCATCTTTTTAACTGACATACGCAGGTACTTCTAACATTAGGAAGATATATATTTTTTTTATTATACTTCACATAATACTAAAACTTCATAAAGACTTAATGCATACAGAATTATATATTTCAACTGTTTATTTCCATAAATTCTGATAGCTTAATCTAATTTTGCATCATGCAGGAACTTATGGTGGAATTCTTATATAAATGTCAAATCATTCTGGTTTAAACCTGTATATAAATGTACTCTTTATCAGACCATATTGTAGGGCTGCAACTAACGATTATTTTAAAAATCGATGAATCGGGCGATTATTTTTTCGATTAATCGATGAATCGGACAAAAAATATTTTTATTTTATTTTATATATATATATATTATATTTTTTTCCAAAATAAACATTTTAGACAGAACAAACAAGCACACAAGTACAGGTTGCTCATTAACTGTACTGGTGCAATATGAAAAATAAATGTTTGTGTTAAAACTATGCAAACTTACATGAAAAATGTAGCTGTACATCCACAAAATATAGGCTACTTTGTTTCATAAAGCGCAAAAAAAGGCATTTTTGTTTTCTAAAGCCCCTAAGGGGTTCAAACAATAGGCCCCCCCATTTCAACAAATGAGTTTGTTTTTTTTTTACTAGAAGAGTTCTGCCTTTTAAGACAGGAAAGTATAGCAGTTAAAGTTGCTACTTGAGAAAATACTGAACCATAGAGATAAAAATAGCCCTGTGATTCAAATTATAAATTGTATTTGGAATAAAAATGAGAGAACTAGGGGTGGTAAAAAACACATCCCCCAAAGACAGATATTTACATGGGAATGTGGCAGATAATTAATTGACATATTACTGATCTTGCTGGATTTTATACTTTACTTCCATAAATTGCAGGATCTTCTTTACTTTATCTTTGCCAGAAGATTTAAACTTCAAAAGCCTTGCCCTCATAATTTGCAAGATAATTTATTTATAAAGGCTATTTTAATTATTGTGATCAATTTGCACCGTCAATCCCGGCACATGCGCGCTTCATTTGCAGTCTGGACGCTGAAACAGGCTGCAGCGGGATGCTTCTCCAAGTACATCCTGCGGCTCTGATTGCAGCGATGAGAGAGATTCCTGCGGGAGAACGGGGTTGGGAGGGGGGAGGCGCCCCACGGCAGCAGCTGCCGCTGGAGGACAAGATTAGGAACGATACATGCTTTCACGTAAGAGTCTCCAAAAGCCGCCAGTAACACCGTAAAAAGTCGCCAGATTTGTCGCTAGTCACTTTTAAAAAAAAAAATAGTCGCTGGAGGGGTCTGAAAAGTCGCTAAATATAGCGACTAAGTCGCTGAGTTGGAAACACTGCGCACCTGCGGCGCTGACTCGCTCTGCCGTATCTTTTTTTTTTTTCCCCGTTTCAGTCAAGAAGTGATAATGGCGGCAGCGGATGACGCATTAATCGCGCGACACAACTAATCGATGATGAAATTCGTTGCCAACGCTTTTAAAAGTCGATTTTTATCGATTTTATCGATTCGTTGTTGCAGCCCTACCATATTGTCCAAAAAGTTATAAAATATCTATTTAAAAAAAAAATCCTGTCTTAAAATCTGTGTTGTTGTTTTTTTTCCCCCTTATCTTATGCAGGCCAGTTAGTTATATGTCAGCTTGAACACCTAAATTCAGCCAATCATATATCAACGTTCATCTGTCAATCAAATTTTTTCGGTCATAGCATCTTGATTCTATAATAAGAAATAAGAATCATTTACTTTCCCATTGAGTTCCGTCCCAGTGTTCACAGTGATGGGCGTCTGTGTCTTCGGCAGGCGTAGAGCTAACAGAACTGGCAGCGTTGCGAGGCAAGGGCTCAAACATGTACGGCTGGAAGCCTTCTACACCAAACCAAGCTTCTGGCGCCCTGGCGTCCTCTTCCACAACATCTTCGTCCCCGCTTTCCTCTTCTAAATAAAAAATGAATGACGGAGGAGACTCATCCACGACACAAAACTCTCCTCCTCTTGCATGTTTCCTCTGTCCATAGCGTTCCTTGACAGTGTCGTTTCTAAGTCACCAATTTAGTGCTACTTGGTCCCAATGGATTTTCCTATTGGAACCTATTAGCACTAAGTTGCTAACTGGTTAGCAAGATGCTTACGACAAACTGGCCACAACCAAACTTGCTTGCGAACCTCAACAATCCCGCCCCCTTGATGAATGACCAATCATATTCACTTTATTCACTCGTGTAAAGTCGTGCGCCACTCGAGAGAATTTGGAACAGCTGCTTCCCTATGACTTTAAACTTGTGGATCTCGTCCTTTCAAAGGATGGAGTTTACCAGTAACATTGTTTTAGTAGTTTGTTTTTCAAGAGGATATATTTTAAGGAGCTGACAATTTAGGTTGATCTCTAAACATCACTGCTCTGCTGCAAGGCTTTTTTTCTTCCACTCAACTTTCCATCAACGTAATTGGATAGAGCACCCTGTGAACACCCAAGTCCTTCAGCAGTGACGTGTTTTGGCTTTACCCTCCTTGTTGTAGGTCATTGTCTGCCAGGTAGCTTGTTATTTAGTCCATTTTTCTTCAGATTGTGCGACATCTTTGTGAAAATTGGCAATTTTTTAAAAGAATTTTGCCATTTTCAGAAAGAAACTGAATTTGTTAATGATCAATCATACTTAAGCAATGCTTCTGATTGTCGAGCTGCTGTTCCAGTCGGGTATCTGTGAAATCAGAAATCATCATAGCCCACTAAAATTTGGAGAAGCAATGGAGGAACACCTAGAAGGAATGTTTTCCCTGATGTGGATTGGTGTATTTGTTTCTCAGGCGGATGAGGGGCAGAGGGAGAGGCAGAGGTAGAGGTAGAGGATGGGGTAACAGAGGGTCCAGAGGGCAGCACCATCAGGCGCCACCCCCAATAAATGGCACTGCTGCAGAGGCCCCTAAACCAGTCAACCATCTCTCCAATGGAGGAGATCCACTAGGAGTTCTGGCCAGTACTGACCACAGTGAGTTTATGTTAAGCTGCTGATACTTTGTGAATTCTCCAAATGAAATGGATGAATACTGATGTTAAACATGTGTGTGGTGTTCTTGCAGGTTCTGATAAAGAGGAGCCGGATCCAGAACGGAGCACAGGTGGTGTGGTTGTTCCCCCCAAACATATGAGCTCAGCCCTCGGGTCCTTAATGGCTAACTATGGTTCTTCCAGTGATAGCGACGAGGAACCAGATGGTGAGCTCATGGATTTCAGTCCATTTTCAGTTGATGTTTTTGTTTAGTTTTGATGCTTAAACAGATGTTTGCTTTGCAGCTGCTCCTATTCTGAGAGCCAAGGAGGTGCTGCAAGAAAACCAGGCCATCCTAAACGAGGAGAGACAACCTTCTGGGCATGGTGGAGTCCCTGAACATGCGGAAAATTCCAGCGAGACTCAAACACTTCCTCAGCCGGTGTCTGGTCCTAACATCTGGAACGAAAGAAGAAAAAGAGGAGGAGGGAGAGGAGGCAGGGGGCGAAGAGGTCCAGATGTGCCTCAGCCTCGGCGTGCAACCTTACTAGAAATGGTAAAGGCTTCTGACTTAAACCAGCTTTACTTTTGATTGGTTGGCTGTGATCAATGAAATCCATGAATACACATTGGATTATGTAACGATTGCCTTTGTAAACGAAGAACGCAAAACAGTTTAATCAGTACCAGAAATCTGATAAAAGCCCCAGAAGTTGGTTCTAACAGGATTTTAATGATTTCTTAAATCCACAAACCTTAGATTTAGGTTTCTTGCCTTGAATGTTGGGGTTATTGTTGGCCCACAGAGGAGGGATAAAGCACTGGTATTAATTTAGCTAATTTTAGATTTAGGTGTCTTTACTAGGGCTGAAACCATTAATCGGATTAAAAGATTATTAAATAAATAATCTCGACTATTTTAGTAATCAATTAATCATTAACTGGAGTGTAGAGACTCTAAAACAGACACTGAACCTGATTTAAAACATTTATAAATTACGGCATGTTTTTCACTTGTGCCGCTTCTCCTGTTACCCCAAAATCCCACATCCTCCGTCTCCATCCCGCTGGAGCTTACAGCCTCCGCTGTTCCCCAAGTCTTGCTGCGCTCTGACTCCTTCGGAGTTTGAGGAGAGCATGCGTGATAATATCATTAATATTGTGCATCATTAACGCTTAATTTAATATGAAATATTTTTAAAAAATCCCCATCAGCATCCAGCTTATGTTCAGTTTCTGATGGAGATGAGAAATCTGCTTCCTGGTTTGTTGAAGTACCAATAGTTTGCATCCAATATTTCAAATAAACGGTGTTAGTTTTTTGAAATATAAAAGATTTATGCTCTAATTTGTAGTTGCCGATCTTTTGATACTATATTTTAATTTGTCAAACCGGATCTTCTCACCGTTCTTTTTCCTGTTTGGTGCGATTGAAATAGCGGATCTGGACCTTGCCGGACCGGAGCGGAGCCTGAATATTTAGAGTATGTTTGGCTCAACCTGCTGCTGTGAAGCAGGATTCTCCACCAGGAACAGAAACAAAAATAAATATGGATCCAGGCTCACGTATGAGCACTTTATTTGTGCATTAGAATGGCTTTGTCTCCATTCAAACCCAGGTTTAAAGCCTTGCAGGTCAGCCTAAAGCCAAAAAAAAACAAAGGTTCAGTTCGGGAGTTTTATGAGACGTGAATCAGGAAATTGTCTGTATACCAAACTGAAAGATTGTTGTTCTCTACTTCAAAAACACTTTTAGGCTTTAAAATGAAAAAAGTTTCTTTTTTTTAATATATTTTTTTAATTAAAAAATTGAATGCATAACATGAATGCATAAAAACCTCCTTTTATTTCAGTGTTAAATTCTGTTTAAAGTAACATATTATGATTGAAAATGTCTCTGGATCTTTACTGGTTGAGGATTTTCTTTATTCAGACCCTGCTGATTTTTTATTGGTTACCCCTGATCTAAAACATGCCTTAAGCTGACAGAGCGACCCACTTAGAGCAGTAATTACACCAAGATGGTAAACAAAAATATATAAAAATTTGGCATTTAAGATAAAGAAAAAATAGTCTGTCAATATGCTCTATCCAGAACTCCTGAAGTGGAAAATTTTGAGTTTCACCTGGTTTGATTTTGTGAAAAGTCTTCTTTAAAGAATCTGTGGATATCCGATTTTTAATTATTAATAAAAAAAAAATAATTGAGAAATTAATCGATTTGCATAAAATCGTTAGTTGCAGCCCTAGTCCTCACTTCTTTCTCCATCTCATATGTTCAAATGTGAACTGTGTTTCAGAAAGGTAAAAATATAGACAAAACAAATAATAGAGTTACAATGGAAATATAACTTCAAAATCTAAAATGCCTTACAGCAAAAAATAATTTTATAAAGAAGATTTTAACAATTTGGATGAATTAACTAACTTTTGTTGTGGACTTCCAGCACCGATGGTAAAAATGAGGCCATCTTGCAACTGCAGCAGGATCCTTTTCTTATAAAGTGTTTCCCCCTTCAGGCTATCAGATTTCTAGCCCTATACTTTGCTTAATAGTTTGTTCAGATGTCACAGCAGCGACGCCTTCGCTTCAACAAGACCAATCCCCTACCTTTTATTTATTTCAAATATTCCAAATTTGGCTTTTTCAGAAGGTGAAAGGAAGACTGAATATATTAAAGCAAAGTTCATCAGTTTATTGTAGCTGATATAGTAATATTAGATGCTATAATCACTCAGTTATTGAAAAGAAATTGAAGTTAGCTAAGATTATTGGAAGCTTATTGCTTTATAAAAACTTTTTACTCGAACTCTAACATCTGATTGGTGCGTCTGTATTAAAATCTGTCATAATCCACTTATTCCAGCCTTTTATAAATCTTCCGTCTGAGGCCAAAATATTTCCCATTATTAATGCGACTGTTTTTTTCCTTCCTTCGTTCAGTTATTGGCCCCAGATATCCGCCATGAGAGGAACGTTCTCCTGCAGTGTGTACGATACGTTGTCCGCAACAACTTCTTCGGGCTGGAAAACGGACATCAGGACCCGGAGGAGATGAAGCACAGAAACTTACCGGCTTCTTCAACCACTGAGAAAGAGCAGAGTGCAACAGAAGTACCTGCATCTAAGTCGGACTCTCTGGTTTCTGACGAGAGGCCTGAAGAGAGTCTGCCTGTCAGGGAGGACGGAGGTGATGGAGATTTAAAGAGTGAATCTGTTGAAGGAACCGAAGAAGGTTCTGCAGATTCTGTCCAAAGCGTTGAGGAGACGGACGGCGCTCCCAGCACAGATCTCAACGGCACAATAACAGAGACATCTAAAGCTAATATGTATGATGATGAGATATGGGAAACAGACGAGGCTGTTGCCGGAAATACTTAGTTTATTTTTATTTTTTAATTTGATTAAACTGTATAATTATTTTCCTTGTAAAGTAAATCATTTAATTTTGCTCCTTTTTTGCTGTAGGTTGATAATTTTGCTATAAAATAAATGATTAGTCTACAACATTGACTTTTTTATTTGAAGTCTGTAGCATGATGCTACCACTACCATGCTTGTCCAAGGGTTTGAAAGTATCATGTTGCAATAAGATTAAACAACTCAGTCCTTGTGTTGTCTGACTATACAACTCTATAATATACTACTATACTTTCAGATTTTAGCCGATTAGGTAACTTTCACTGCAATTTCATTTTATGTACCCAGAGTTTGGTCTTTAAATCTGAAATTTTCCAATGAGTGCAGATCTAAAATTCCCCTTTAATCTTTAAAATAAAGAAAATGCAGATCTTTTAGGGTAGTTCTCAACCAGCTTTGACTATATGGAAACTTTTTACTCCTTCCTTGAAAAAAACAGAAACAAACCTCAAGCTATGAAGGAGAATGTATGCAGTTTTTGGTTTCCATTTATTTCCATTTGGATGGTGTACAGATTTTGACTAGGCCTTTCCAATGAAGACTGTGAGGGACTAAACTTAAATAAGGACAAAAGGTGTTCAAAAACTGGGGGGGAAAAAACTTTCATTTAATGTTCATATAAATATTTTTAAAAAAGGCTGAAAAGCAATACAAAAAAAGTTAAATAACATGGAATTGGCCCAAATTAACCGAGTTCAACTGAACAGGAACATAAACCAAAAAACTGACCTACTGATAAAGAATAGAGGCTGCTTAAATAGGGGTATAAATAACCTAAAGTGGCTACATGAGGGAGGCACAATATAACAGAGAAGCAATAAATAAATAAATGAAAGTCCATACAAAACTAAAACATAAATAAAACTCTTTAACTTAGCACAAATAATTGAATATTAAGGCGACAAAATAACTACGGTAAATTAAACTTAAAATTCCCCCCTCAGTTCTTGGGAAAGTGGTTTGTTCCTGACTGCTTCACCTCCAGCTGATCTGCATTTGCACAACTATGAAACTACACAAACTTTGTGGTGGAGGTAGAAGGATCCGCCACAAAGACATACAGGTGCTGGTCATAAAATTAGAATATCATGAAAAAGTAGATTGATTTCAGTAATTCCATTTAAAAAGTGAAACTTGTATATTATATTCATACATTACATACAAACTCATATATTTCAGATGTTTATTTTGTTTAATTTTGATGATTACAAATGACAACAAATGAAAATCTCAAATTCATCATATCAGAAAATTAGAATATTACTGAAGACCAATAAAAACAAAGGATTTATAGAAATGTTGGCCAACTGAAAAGTATGAACATGAAAAGCATGAGCATGTACAGCACTCAGTATTTAGTTGGGCCTCCTTTGGCCTGTATTACTGCAGCAATGCGGCGTGGCATGGAGTCGATCAGTCTGTGGCCCTGCTCAGGTGTTATGATAGCCCAGGTTGCTCTAATAGTGGCTTTTAGCTCTTCTGAATTGTTGGGTCTGGTGTATTGCATCTTCTTCTTCACAATACCCCATAGATTTTCTATGGGGTTAAGGTCAGGAGAGTTTGCTGGCCAATTAAGAACAGGGATACCATGGTCCTTCAACCAGGTACTGGTAGCTTTGGCACTGTGTGCAGGTGCCAAGTCCTGTTGGAAAATGAAATCTGCATCTCCAAAAAGTTGGTCAGCTGCAGGAAGCATGAAGTGCTCTAAAACTTCCTGGTATGTGGCTGCGTTGACCCTGGACCTCAGAAAACACAATGGACCAACACCAGCAGATGACATGGCACCCCAAACCATCACTGACTGTGGAAACTTTACACTGGACTTCAAGCAACGTGGATGAAGTGCCTCTCTTCTTTTCCTCCAGACTCTGGGACCTTGATTTCCAAAGGAAATGCAAAATTTACTTTCATCAGAGAACATGACTTTGGACCACTCACCAGCAGTCCAGTCCTGTTTCTCTTTAGCCCAGGCAAGACGCTTCTGACGCTGTCTGTGGTTCAAGAGTGGCTTGACACAAGGAATGCGACAGCAGAAACCCATGTCTTTCATACGTCTGTGTGTGGTGGTTCTTGAAGCACTCACTCCAGCTGCAGTCCACTCTTTGTGAATCTCCCCCACATTTTTGAATGGGTTTTGTTTCACAATCCTCTCCAGGGTGCGGTTATCTCTCTTGCTTGTACACTTTTTTCGACCACATCTTTTCCTTCCCTTCGCCTCTCTATTAATGTGCTTGGACACTGAGCTCTGTGAACAGCCAGCCTCTTTAGCGATGACCTTTTGTGTCTTGCCCTCCTTGTGCAAGGTGTCGATGGTCGTCTTTTGGACAACTGTCAAGTCAGTAGTCTTCCCCATGATTGTGTAGCCTATAGAACTAGACTGAAAGACCATTTAAAGGCATTTGCAGGTGGTTTGAGTTAATTAGCTGATTAGAGTGTGGCACCAGGGGCCATCAATTTTGAACCTTTTCACAATATTCTAATTTTCTGATATGATGAATTTGAGATTTTCATTTGTTGTCATTTGTAATCATCAAAATTAAACAAAATAAACATCTGAAATATATGAGTTTGTATGTAATGTATGAATATAATATACAAGTTTCACTTTTTAAATGGAATTACTGAAATCAATCTACTTTTTCATGATATTCTAATTTTATGACCAGCACCTGTACTATGAAAACTTCCCTCAGAAGCTTCTGTGTTACAAAAATCCTGGCGGGTCGGTTATCTGTAACTTAGATGTGTCCCTTGCCCTAAGCTTACATACCTGAATCAAATAACTAAGCCTTGCTATCTCATATTGGACTCAGTTGTGTTGAAACACAGATGCATCTAAAAGTTGCAGGTTCACATGTTTTTTTTTTTGTTTTTTTTTAATTAAGCAATTGATATTTACATGAAAAAATATTCTGAGAGAGGATGGCAAAAGTACACGAACAGATGAAGATTAATTACAATTGAAAAATACAAAGTAAAGGGATTTATATCAACAAACATTTAAATCAGACAGAGAAAGAGCCATAGAAATTTAAAAAACAGAAGGTGGATGCAATTAGAATAGATGGTGGGAGAATTTAAGACTCAATTTTTTGGCATATTTGTATTTTTTAAATGTTTTTAAGAGAACAAAAATAAGGTTTTAAAGTCATTAATAAACCGATGAAAGGAAGGTTTATGATTCCTCCATTTAACACAGTGGATATGATATTTATCCAACAGCAGGATGATATTAATAGTATCAGAAACAGGCAAGGGAAGATGGTCCACATAAAAAAATGACATTATTTAGGGGCAAATGGGGGGATATAGTTAGTTTTCAAAGAAAAACAGATGTGTTCAAAAGTTTCACTATTATTATTACTATATGAACATTAATCCACCTCAAAATCAAATCTTTTTCTTAAAAATTCTGCCACAGGATAAACGTTGTTTATAACTTTAAAATGTGTTTCTTTGACTTTAGGTAGAATAGGGTCACATCATGGTTTGTTCCATGGCTTTTCTGTACTTGTATGCAAGCATCCCAAAGGCATGATGCAGCCATCACCATGTTTAGCTTTTGGGAGCTATATTCATCTTTTTTTGTGTCAGTTTATTTGAAATAATACAAAATCAAACATCAAAAGGTGTATAATGTAAAATCCACGACTTGAATTAATGATGATTTCACAACAGAAAATAAGTAATTAAAAGAATCAATATATAATGACGTTAAACTTAGATTATTTAACGTTAACGTGCTAAATTCAAATTGTTCGTGCTTAAAATGCAGACCCAAGGTAAATGAATTACCGACAAAGCTTTTTGTAGCTCCGCCCGCCTGGACTGCTAAAACATGAAAATCAAAGCACCACCGCAGCAGGCCCGGTAACCTAGCAACCACCTGAGCTGTCACATCAACGGTAAAGTTGACGAGAGCGCCTCGGTCAACATAAAAGGGCGAGTATAGATATACTTTATAAAACTATATTACCTAATAATATATGTCTCTGTAATATTTGAAGACTTCTAATTGCAAATCTATACCTAATGGCTGGAAGGTGCGTTCGAGTTGAACCTCCGTTTGTAGAATTTAAGGATGTAAAAGTTGGGGAAGTTTACAGGAAAGCAGTCACGGTAACAAATATTGGAAAACAACCGAAGAAGATTTTTATTGAGAAGCCCAACTCGAAGGTAACGTATTTATAATTATTTTATAACGAATTTTAGTTGTGTAGGTATATGTTATGTTTTCAACGTTTAGCAAATAGTATCGTTAATTTGCTAACTGGCCAAAATTGCAGCAAAAATGGCGGCCAACCGTTAGCTTCTAACTTGTTGAGAAAAGGTGCTTTTTTTTTTTTTTTTTTTTTTTTTTTTTTTTTTTTTAATAAAAGGCTTAGATGCCATAAATAATGCACATTTCAGAAAAAATAAAATAAAGTGTAGTAAAAATAAAAACATCTGGGCAGAGCATGTATGAATAGTTTTAAAATTATTCCAAAAGATCAAAATTCTTTCATTAAATTACAAAATATCATAGAAATTATTTAGTTTTAAGTGTATAGATATTGATTAGACACACATTGCCTTTTTTGTAATTGATACTTATTTTCTCTGCTATCAATATTTTGACTGTTCTTTATTCTGTAGTGTACAGAAGAGGATTAGGTAGGGTGACCATATTTTCATTTGGGAAAACCAGGACAACTTGGGGTGGGGGGTGGGGGGGGGGGGGGGGGGATCTCTGTTCCCATGCATAGAGATGTCTGTGGCATGCACTCACTTAACATAGACCTACCTAATCCCACAATGACACAATGAGTTGATTTATTAAAGAATGCTTTTTAGTAAAAGTCAACAGCAATAACTCCAATAACAAACGATAATTTAATTCAAAATGCATTTATTAAAAATGCTTAACAATTTCTGTAATGAATGAATAGCACATTGAGAGAAATAATGTCTCATCTAAACATCCCTCACTTAACAATAAAAGTTAAAAATAACTCTCAACTCCAATAACAGATGATGCTCAGCCTCAGCAATGAACGAAATAATGTCTGTTCTGTAGGCTATTGGAAAAAAAAAATTAACAAATGAGCTA